ATTGGTTTCTGAAGGTCAAAAATAGCGTTTTTCCCAAAATCGATAGGTAAGTTTCAAGCTTAATTACACCTAGAGAAAGTGAGTTGAGTAAAATCTTGTAATGATATGATTTGTTGTCCATATCATGAGGAACAAATCTGTTTTTCACTGGAGTGTCTAGCTTCAATAGTTATCGAGATACAGAAGATAACGCAAACCTCCATTTGAGCCGAAAACGCGTTTTTTCGCATTATAAAAACGGCTGTACCGGGAGAACCGAGCTGATCACAATTTTTTTAACATTTTTTTTTGAGGTGTGAAAATATGTAGAAATAAGTGTACAAATTTTGAATTTTTTTAAAAATGGTGAGCGACCTTTCTGGATGATTTCACATGGAATGGTCCTATATCATGTAACAATGATATACAGACACGAAATAAATAAATAAACAGTGAGTGGGAACCAAAGCATATCACAGTTTATTACTAAATACATTACACATGGTAACTGTCACGTAATGTTATTTTTATGAAGCATGTACAGTGAAACTTCCACATAGGTTTCTTTGGGAAACAGTAAATTTGAGCACTCAAACATGAAAAATCTTAAATGTTGGAAGTTTAAAACTGAGATTGTTGAATACTAGATGAGGGGAAACCTTCAGTCTATGAACGTGAGGTGAGCATTTCACTGTACTTATACAGTTGACCTCACTTTCCCAATATACCAAATTGATAATATTTTTGCCTCAAGAAAGATGACTGTTAACATTTTAGTCTAACATAGAAGTTTATCTGAATTTTGAACAACAGAGATGAGTAGTTGTTGGCTGACTGAATTAACAGCAGATGTGCCCCGTGTACATTCATTATCAGTCAGAAACAGATCACTATCTGTGCTATTTATAGGACAGGGACTGTAGTTTTAGTGTTGTAATATTTTCAGATTAAGTTGCATTAAATGGAAGGGCAGAAGGGTTGTGAAGTAAATTGCATTTCAGTCCATTCGCAAATAGGTTGAGTACCTTAGACAAACACGATAAAGTCAAAAAAGAGGAATGAATTAAGTACTTAATTGAAAATTGTTGAGTGTTCAGAAACTTAAATTTTGGGAACTTTTAAGCAGGTTTGCATCCAGAAGGAAATTATAAGGAAATAGGAATAGTGCTGGTGTTGGACATTATGAAGGACATAATCTGAAGTATCCAGCTTATTTCAGTTTACAGTGGAACCTCGCTTAACGAGTATAATTCATTCCAGAATCTTGCTTGTAATGTGAAACACTCGTTAAGCGAAACAATTTTTCCCATATAAATTAATGTAAAATACGATGTGTTCCATGCCCAAAAAAAATACAAAAAAAATTTATGTATAACGTTTATTCAAAGAAAATGATATATACATTGTTAAGGAGCGTGAATCATCTTCATCTTTTCTTCTATGCGGAATGAACCAACCTGGAATGCGAATTCGATTTGCAAAAAACAAAAAAGGAATCGAAGTAATTAGTTTATTATTTATGATACATATCTAATTCTTTTTTTACTAGAAAGCTGTCTAGAAACATTTGTTTTTGCCGATGCTTCAAAATTTGGTGAAAATGCGACACAGCATTTTCGTTAAATAAATTTGTAGCGCGCATAGCCACTGCCTTATTAGGGTGATGCTTCTCAATGTACGATGCAACAGTTTCCCTTGCTTTCAGTGTTTCTCTTATTGTGCCAGAAGATTGTTGCTTTGCTGTTACCTTCTCCTCCGACAAACTCTCTTCCACAACTTCTTGCTGTGAAACACAGTGCAACTCCAAATCGTGCAAATCGTTGATGTAGACCGATTGTATGTGCGTGCTAGATCAGCCACGCTCACACCTCNATTTTTGCAAGGGTTATTAAACTTTGCACAAAAATAATCACAAATAATATGTCTGAACACAAGTTTGGAAAAATGTGTGATCACAAGCGACACTAAGATGCTAGTGGAACAAGTTCTAAACACAGACTGATGTAGCAAGCACACAATCCGGGACTTCCTCTCTTGTCACTCGTTATGCGAAACTTCGCTCGTTAAGCAAGTCATTTTTTTACAATTTGTTTTGCTCGTTATGCGAATTACTCATTATGAGAGGTGCTCGTTAACCAAGGTTCCACTGTATTTGTTATTTAATGATCTGTTGGTATCTGGACTATATAGCATCAATGATAGGGTGATTAATGAATATGGTGCAGTTGGTGGCATGAGAATTGGCAGAGGAAACTGAAATACTTGGAGGAAGCCTTCAATGCCACTTTGTTTTCCACAAATCCCACACAACCTGACCTAGGATCAAACCTAGGCCACTGTGGTGGGAAGCTGCCAAATAAGAAATGTTGAAGGCATCATTAAACAAACTAAGAATAGCACAATTTTACCATTTTCAGCCATAATAGTAATGTTTATTGAGTTTACAACATGAGAAGCCACCAATTTTTATGTTTCAGCTACATCACTGTGACATTTGTGATAGAAGCAATGGCTTCAGCCAATGCCATTGTCCAGTGGAAACTTCTACAAGAGATGAAATATGTGAGTAAGCAAAGAAACAGAGGTTCTAACAGTGGCAGACAGATGCATTGGTTTTCCTGTTCCCTTCCTTGAAGTGATATTCTTTGCAGAATCCCATAGCTGTTGTATAAGAGGAATATGTACATTTCTGGTGGGGGTCGAGGGGTAAGTGTATTAAGGATACAGCTGTTTTACACTTGCTTGTTATATGTTAAATCCCATCACATGCCGCACCTTTTCAGGTATCATGTTCTTATGTGTATATACAATTCTGTAAGCATTTTCAGATAATTGAAATTGTAAGTGAATGGCTGCACCTCTGGATGTTTATAACCACTTATTCAGAGCTCACATGACCCTGATGTCAGGAGAAATAATAAAAAAAAAGCTTTGCAATCAGAACTACAAAAGCTGCAAAATTGTGCCCTCACGTTATTTCTGCAGACATGATAGATAATGTCATCTGTTCCTCGGCATAATTTAGCTGCCCGTGTGGACAGTATGGAAATGACGTAGTTGACTGCATTCTTCTTACAATAGAAATGGGAGAAAATTTCAAAAGCCTTTTGTCGTATTTCAGTTTAATAGAGTAATTATGTTAAATTTCTTCTAACAATGCGGCTTTTGCTGCAACGAATCATATGACTATATATTTTTACTTTTTCTTTTTCTTGGGGTGGGATGAGACTGAGTTCATTTGATATGTCAGCCTCTAACTGGCCTATTGTATCAGCCCCAGATGATAGATGATGAGTGTGGAACAGTCAGTGGGATGAGAATTGGCAGGGGAAACCAAAGTACTTGGAGAAAACCTGCCCTAGTGCCACTTTGTCCACCACAAACCCCACATGACCTGACGTGGGCTCGAACCGGGGCGACTAACCACCTGTGCTATGGCACAGCCTGTATATATTTACTTACTGAGATTTACTTTTTTATTATTTAGATGAATTATTGTTGCAGACTGTGCAGACGGAATCCTCAAGTGAAGACAGCACAGAGGATCAACCTCTTGTCTCTCATGACACTGTACAGAAGCTTCCATCCCAGTCAAGTCACTGCTATGTTATTCAACAGAAGATTGAGATGGTATGTACAAGAAAAAGGGACAGTGAATGCGTCTCCTGACATGGTGAGATTTCCATGTGAGAAGTGCTGTAAATAAGAAAAGAAGTATTTTGAATGTAAAAGCTTGTTATTGAGCTGAAAATATAAAAATTTAACACTGAATGAAAGAAAACCATGAACTGAAAACATTAATTGTCAAAATTTAATTTGTTGTTGTGCGGAAAGTAATAGAGACAGGCAGTTAACCATTCAACTTGCTCTTTAAGTGACTGCATGAGGTCATATGTGCTGACAGTCACTAGACCTCTAACAATAATCCATACAGCTACCACAGTCCAGGATCATTTTTAGAACATGGTTTGTCCCATGCTTGTTTTCTCTGGTGAACATTGACCAAGCTAAGGGTATACAATCTTCTCATATGAAAATCTGGTCATCAACGGATTGGTTAGTATTAGATAAATGTTGACATTGTAAAAACAGGCACCTTGTATGTTCACTGCATAGGAAATATGTAGAAAGTTCACATGTTCTCTCATTAGGGAGCTGTAATGTGACTATCTCTGATTTGGTGTTACCCAGACTAACCTTTGGTTTTGTCACATTGGTTATTCAGTATCATGAATAATGTTGGATCTTGTAAGGTGCTTAGCTTTATGATATCAAATTGCATAAGGTAAATGATATAAACTCCGTCTCAAGTGCAAACAATATATTTTGTGTCTTTGATCTTGCTCCCTACACTACATGTTTCGGCCTCAGACGGCCATCATCAGGTGTATAACACTCACGTCGCTGTCACACTGCACCCAGTTCAAAATTTAACATCTAAAACACTCTCCCTGTCATTATCAACTTCTACTTCGTTGATAGCTGTCCACCCGTAGATTACTTCACAACAAACAAGAACTAGCCGCTGCAGCACTTCAAACACAGGGCGAATAACCCTAACAATTTTAAAATTTTAAAATTTGGACAAGAATTTAAAGGTTTAAAATTAGAACTAAAGATTTTATTATGGTGCTATTACAATAAACTCAAAATTAACGTGTGTGAAGTAATCTACGGGTGGACAGCTATCAACGAAGTAGAAGTTGATAATGACAGGGAGAGTGTTTTAGATGTTAAATTTTGAACTGGGTGCAGTGTGACAGCGACGTGAGTGTTATACACCTGATGATGGCCGTCTGAGGCCGAAACATGTAGTGTAGGGAGCAAGATCAAAGACACAAAATATATTGTTTGCACTTGAGACGGAGTTTATATCATTTATCGTATGGAGTGCAACAGGGTGCTTAAATGTAATATTGCATAAGGTAGCTAATCTTAGTTTTTACTGTACACTGTATTGCTCTTTAAATATTTGTTTATTAATATTTGGGAAGAATATGCATATATGCAGTTCAGGTTAGCGCCAGATTCAGGTTTAATGGCTCTTGCTATCAGTATCTAGTGTGTCTCTTCTTGTTTACTTATGATTATGAACTCCAAAAAATTCTTGCAATGAATTATTAATTAAATTTTGTCCTGCATATTATTATTGTTGTTATGGGGACACACAGTAGCATAGTTGGTTTAGGCACTATGCTACAAGCTGGAAGATCGTGGGATCGAATCCCGATGAGGTGAATTTTTTCAATTTACCTAATCCTTCCAGCCGCAGTATGGCCCTGCGGTTGACTCATCCTCTAACAGAAATGAGTACCAGGAATCTTCATGGGATTAAAGGGCGGCCGGCTTGTAAGGCTGACAACCTTACCGCCATCTATGAGCTGATTGTCTAGAAAATGTGGGAACCTTAACACCTCACAACCCTATGGGCCTTCACAGCCTCTTACAGGAATACCTTTACTTTACTTTATTATTATTATATTCTTTTCTCCACACCATGTTAAAGGAATCCTGTTATGACCCAGGGTCGAGCCTTGTTTCAGTGAATACTCATCACCTAAGTTGTTATGTTAATTATATGAAATAATGTAGTATTTGAGGGTCTCATAGTGATGATTGTGAAGAATTCTGTCTTGTCTGTTATAACACCATACCATTTTGAAAATACTGGATGTAGTTAAGTCATTTTCCTGATTTATTGCAACCTTATTTTCCCATAGATTAAGTTTGCCAGGTACTGTGTTTTCCTTGCATTTAACAAGAAATGTATGTATTTAGAGCAGTATCTTGAGGAAAAACATATAAATGGTTGAAACTATCTGTATTTAGAGAAATTACCATCAGTAGTGAATTATTTTTCTTACAGGGTTAAGGAAACTCGTGTAAATGGTTGATCATTTCGTTATTTATAGAAATAACCATTATTAGTATATTATTTTTCTTGCAGGGTCAGATGGCATCTCTATTTTTCAACAGAAGTAAGTTCAAATTTACAGTATCTGTTTTATTAATAAGAATAGTTTGATGTATTTCCCTTTTTAATATATTGGTATTATGCTCTGTAAATCTTTATCATCTATATGTAGATGAAATTTATTAGGGACTGTCAGTGTGGATCTTAATGTACTAGATTAGTTAGTTATTGGAGAGGGTGGGTTTCCCCATGCACTGAGACCTGTATTGGTCCATTGTGCTTCCCTCTATGATTTCTACCAGTCTCTATATCCTGCCGGTACTGGTGCTTACCATCAGTCCCGCCCAGCCAGCGAGACCGGCTCTACTAGCTGAGAGGTCTCTATAATGCTTCCCCCATCTACCAGAGGTATTAGAGACTGCTGTTGGGCGGGAAACGTCCGTTAATTTTGCTCAGTGACCTCCTTTGGAGATATGAGGTTCTTTAAATGCCGTAAAGCTAAGACATGGGACCCACGGCTTAAAGTCTCTCCCGGAGGACTTGTTCCCTGAATTTTTCTGCCCTTAAAAATTTGACGACCTCCGCCAGGTATTTGAACCCGCGTAATACGAATCATGAGGTGGGAACGTTACCTCTAGACTACGGAGGCTGCTATGTACTAGATTAACTACTTATTAGCTATTTTGCATCTGTCATATAGTGAGTAGGAATTGGAAATGTAGTGTAATAGTGCCTTGCTTATTATAGACTTCAAGAAAGCATGTGGATCAGTTAGGAGAGAAGTATTATCCAGTGTTCTCATTCAGGGTTAGGCAAATTAAAGAGTGATGAATGTAACCTACAATAAAGCCTTCGTGTTCAGAAGAGTTTGAATGAAGATGTCTTATTACCATTGCATTTTAGCTGTACTTGATTCAAGAAAATGAGGAAAAATTAAACTGAATGAAACACATCAGCTTCTGGTCTGTGCTGGTGCTGGTATTTTATTGCACAGAAACATAAGTACCATAAAAGAACCATTGAAGGTCTTTCAGATGCTATTATGAAAGTTGGTCCAGAAGTGAGTGTAGAGAAAAGTGAGTATATATTCAATTTGCATCACCAGAATGTAGGCCAAAACGATAGTATAAAGACAGTTAATACATCATTTGAAAATATGGAAAAGTTAAAATATTTTGGAGCAACGCTGAGAATAGAATAGAAGATGAAATTGAGACATGTTTGGTATTGTTCAATTCAGAATCTTCTATCATCCTGTCTGCTGTTTAAAATCTTGACAAAACCATAATTTTGTCTGCAGTTTTATACGGGTATGGAATTTGGTGCCTCCCATTAATGGAAGTTCATAAACTGAGGGTGTTCTTGAACAGGTTGTTGAGAATATTTGCATATAAAAAGAAGGAAATGTCAGGAGGCAGTAGGAAATTGCTTATGAGTTTAATAATGTTTGCTTCTCCCAAAATATTGTTAGGTTGACCAAAACATGGAGAATGAGATATGTCAGGCACATAGCACATATTGAAGAGAAGCAAAATGCATATAAAGTTTTGGTAGGAAAGAGACCACTTAGAAGACTTGCCTTAGATTGGATGATAATGTTAAAATGTATCTTAAAGAAATATGGTTGGAATGTGTGGATTGAATCCATCTTGCTCAGACAGGGACCAATAGCAGTCTTTTGTGACCATGGTAATGAACGTTTATGTTCAATAAAATGCTGGGAACTATTAACTCCTCAAGATGGACTCTGCTTGCTGATTTCATAAGTAATAATTATTTGAAGGACATTACACTGTAATATCACAGAAACGGCATTTTTTGAAAGGTTACCAAAAGTTGTGGGTGCACACAACTAAAGCAGATGTGTTTCCTCTTTCATGCTCTCGCATCATCCTTAACAATGTTTGTGTTCTCTGCCCTTTTGAGACAGTTGACTGGGAAGTTCATTCCTGCTTCCCAGATCTAGCAGAACAGAATGATCTGTCATTTGTCTCTCTCGTATATGATCTGATAGTGTCTGTATTCTGTGAGCAGAACATGGGAATACGAAACTTCATTCTTAACAGTGAGACTGTTTTAATTGACTGGAGTTTTAGTTTCAGTGGTTATTATAGAAGATTGGGGGCACGCGGTACTGTAGGTGGTTGAGGCACTATGCTACAAGCCAGAAGGTCATGGGTTCAAGTCCTGCTGAGGTCATTGGATTTTTTCAGTTGACCTATTCCTTTCAGCCGCACTATGTCCCTGGGGTTGAATCAGCCTCTAACAGAAATGAGTACCAGGAATGAATTAAATAATTTTCCTGGGAGTAAAGGGCAGCCGATGCGTACGGCTGGCAACCTTACTGCCATCTTTGAGCCGATTGTCTAGATAATATGGGACCTTCAACGTCTCACAACCCTATGGGCCTTCACGACCTGTTACGGGGATAGGTTTACTTTTCCTTTACTTTATTATAGAGGATTAATGTTGAAAAGATAGCATGTCTGATCTGTACTATTGCCACTGATGTTAAAACTAAAAGTACATCTGTCAACATAATGAAAATGGGACTCAACTCCCAAAATATATATTTAAATACAGCTAAGATGATAGATCTGTCCAATATAATTGCAGTGTAAAGAATCAGCCAGTGGCGAAGACCTGTAAGGAATCATTTCCCTTAACCTGTCTCCTCATTTTCCATTTAGTACTGGGTTTGTGTTTCAACAGATTGCATTTGTGTGTTTTAGCTGGACAGTCATTGTTCTTTCTGTGCATTGTGGTATACCTGTATGGGGACCTGTCCATCTATGCAGCTGCAGTGTCCAAGTCTCTGATGGAGGTTGCTTGGTAAGAGTTAACAGGATAACTGGGTCCAGGCTCAGTTGCTTTTGAGTTGTAAGACATCGTAAGTCCCTTGTACTGTGGCCACTTCTTGCCTATTGTACCAGTCCCAGATGATAGGTGAGGGTGATTGTGGAGCAATTGGTGGAATGAAGATTGGCAGGGGAAACCGAAGTACTCTGAGAAAACCTGCCCCAGTGCCACTTTGTCCACCACAAATTCCACTTGACCAGACCCAGGATCAAACCCGGGCCACCACAGTGGAAAGCCAGTGACTAACTGCTTGAGCTTTGGTGTGGCCTTTTCTGTTATCTTAATAATGGATCTTAATGAGTCTTAATGTGTATACATAAATTAATCGAATATTCTTATGAACTGAACAGTATATGTTTGATTTCTTTGCAGCACATATAACACTTCCAGCAACCTCACACTTACAGATACTGACATCTGCTGGGAGAATGTCGACTTGACACGTATCGGTGCATATAGAATATTCCTGGTGAGTTGATTCCTGGAAGTTAAGGTTGGAGAGGAGAAAGGTGGGGAGTTATAAGGTGTTACAGTATATGGCTTGTTTGCTTTTTAGGGAGTTTTCCTTGCAACATTAGGCCCATTTACATTCTTTGATGTGCAGAAGACGAAGTATTTGCAGATGATTAGCAGCATTCTGCGTCAGTTAGGTGAGTTGTAGCACATACTTAAATATTTTAATGTTAAATAACAGTGAAGAAATATAACATTTAAACAAACTATTTTTTGCAACATTTGTGAGGATTGTAGCTATTTTATCTTCTAATTCTGATATGTGCTGTGTGCTTTCTTCTTATTTATTAAGCTAGAAAACATGTTTATATTTTAAAGAAAATTTATTTGATATTGTAAATATATTGCCACATATTTGGGGATGTGATTATGGATGGGGTGGGGTATGGTTTGGTGAATGGATTTATTTATTCACTTGTACATACCACTTGGAGCTACAATTCCAGCACTGTCACTGATCTTCAAAATTCACAAATCCCCACAGCACACACTGAGCCTTTCTCAGCTTGCCGTGTCTTCAGTAGCCGTTCCCTAGCAATGACTTCTAACAGTGGAGATTCTTCAGCTTCCCACGCATATGTTATTACTGTCTAATGAATATCCCGCAACTGGACTGTCTCTCTTGTCAACCAAGTGCTTCGCTTCGCTTCACTTCACTCATGTGGTAATGGGTCTTCATTATATAGCCTCAGGTTAGACTGAACAGAAAACACTCTCATTTCCATTGTAATTATATTGTTGTGTGTGCATCTCATTTCTGCTGGAATGTGTTTACCGAGCTGTTATCAAGCAATGCTCATTCCTTCTCACTATTATTGCATAGCACTGGTACTACACTTTACATTGCTCCCTCAAGGATATTGTCGTGTGTATGGGTGACTAAAGACGGGATTTTGATTGGCAATTTGCTTTATTAACAATATACATGTCATAACTACAAATAATTACAACACTGTTACTGACGTGCACACTGCAAAGTTCTCCATGCTAATCTCTTCAGTCTATGTGCACTAGTATTCATGTATTTATAACACAGGCACTATAAAAGTCTCCCTAAATCACACACTTCCAATATCACTGTGCTACAGCACACATAAAGTGTTCAAATCACACGTTAAATCTTCACAGGCTGACTTCTTATACTCTTCTGTACTCTTCAAGCTTACTGCTTGCTGTATTCCTCCAGCTTATGACTGTACTCCTGCTGACAACTGCTTACTTACTCACTCACCCATTCATTCACTCACAACTCGTAACTGCTTGTTTGTGTGCTTCTGCCGCTACTACTACTCGTAACTACTCTGATTTCCTGAACTCTTGCTTATATATAGCCGAGGAACAGACATGCATCACAGGAAACACATGTCATGTGATCACAGTCCTCTGTTGTGTGACGTCACAGCTCATGCACCAGTTGCACAGACTAAAAGAAAACACAGCTTCCCCTATTGTTGTGTGTTTGTTGCGTTGATCAAAGCCATTACACTATTCATCCTGAATGGCCTGCAGGCATACCGCCATTTATTTTCCAAGGCTATGCTTGCAATGTCTTCTTGATTTCACCTTCCTTCCTGTGGCTCAATTTTTCACAGTGTTTACTCTCCAAGTGCTCCCGCTGCTCACTCTTTCCAAGTGGCTTCCTGGTAGGGTGTCAGCCAATCCAAGTTTATCACTATCATCCTGCTTTTCTGATTATTGGGGGCAAAAGTTCAAAGAATGGTCAATGTTCCTACATTTATATCTTTTAATCTATTGTTAGTGGTATCTTCTTTCATTTTGAAAGTGGCCGACTCCTCCACAATTTCCAGTCACTGATTTTCCACGGTCTAATGGTAGCCCCGACTATTTGCTTTGTGATTTACAGCTCTGTGGTTTTCCTGATGATCCTGCGGAGTGTTGTCCTGCTTCCCATATGTGGCTCCTGTTGCAAGCTTTGGTTCCTTATTCCATTCATGCCTTCCAGTTTTTCCCGATGTCTCTTCCTGAACGTCAAAGTTTTCCATGGGAATGTGTTTACCTAGCCATTACCAAGTAGGTATATGTTCCTTCTCGAGATTGTCGCATGGCAGCGGTACTACATGTTAACAGTATCATGTTTCCTATAACTTTGGAAACAAGACCTGCATACCACACACTGTGCTAATTATGTACAAGTTATTTGTTTTACATACTCTTGTCTTCTACAGAGTTTAGATGGCCTCAAATGAGAAATTATAGGTATTTGATTTTACTTATTACCTGCATATTGGCACTGTTGTGTGAAAGCCATCTATTAACATCGATGTAGAGTACAAGAAGACTCCTGGCACCGCATGCCATGAGTTACAAATAGATGATAAATTATAACACAAATTTATGGTAAAGTTTTAAATTAAAATAAATAAGATAAAGAAACACACTTAAAATTATAAGTAAAATATTTATTTCCTTTGCAGAGTGTATTACACAACATATACACTGAGGTATATTTTTTATACATATCGACACATTATTGTTAAATTAAGACAGAGAAAATATAATGAACTCTAGTAGCTTTTACACTGTAGCTGAAGCCCTAGAGTAATTAGAGGCAAAATTCTTCCTGTGCATAACTGAGAACCACACTATAAGTTGTATGAGAGTTGATGTATAGCTTCACACTTTCTGAATCTCAGTACCAGATTGGAGTGAGTTGTCAGCTTCATGCTCTGGCCACAATACTACCAGAGAAGCCTCTGGTGTCCACTGGATGTGAGGCTGGCTGGGCGCTAGAGCCAGTCTGGACACTATGGAGAAAAGCTCTTGCCCTTTTAGAAATCAAACTCCTATTCCTTGGTCACCCAGCCCATATCATAGCCACTGTACTGACTGAGCTATCTTGGCTCCTAATGTATAATAATTGAATGTCAGTTTCATTTTATGCATGGAATATTATGACATGACAGTACAGTCATAATCATTTGCTTTAATATATATGCCATTTGAGACTGTCAGCAGTATTTGTGTCATTTTGAATACAAACACTGAATATATGATGTGTTTATGATGAATGAATGGAAATGAACAATCAACATTCTCAGTTTTAAAAAATAAGATAATTACATAATTATTTATTTAAATTTTGAACTGACCTATGATCTGTCGGCATGTGCAGGAATGTTAAGTATTGAACATTGCTGTCTTCTGAGATGTTATGCCATGTAGTCTGGTAGATATTTACCAGTCTTCTGAAGAAACCCGCTTCTTCCACATACCACCCTCAGGGTAGAGGCACAAGGTTCTTCTGCAACACTGGTAAATACCTACTGGACTGTGTGGCGTAATTTCCAGGAAGACGCTAATCTGCATAGTCACCACCTTGAGAAACTTAAATCACAGAATTTAATTATTTTCCAGATATATCTGTATCTTGAGATGTTGGCTGCTTGCTTACTAATTTTGTCATATGATTTATTTAATCTATAAACATATAGACCATCAGGTTCTTGAGTGTGGCATTAGTCTATTAGAATTTCTGGACGAGATCCATATAAAAAATTTTGGTATGAATTCATATATTGTAAGGAAGGAAATTATGCCATGAAAGCCATTTAAATATGCAATTTTCCTACGCATCTAGCATTTGGTATAATGATAATAACAGCCATCCGAGACCTGATTGTGGATGGGACTAAGGGTCATCCTCAGACAGCTGATATAACGGGTGTCCCTGAGTTGTTCGGAGCGTGTGTATATTCATTCATGTGCCACCACTCTCTTCCGGCTTTGGTGTCACCGATTGCAGACAAGTCTCGCCTCTTCAGATTGCTGGCTCTCGACTACCTACTCATCACTGTGTTCTACATACTGCTTGCACTCACTGGTGTATTTGCATTTGCACAGGTCAGTGACTTGTACACTCTGGACTTCAGTCAGCATTGGCTGGGGAAGGAAGCATTCCTCATTCCACGTTACTTCCTAGCTCTCTTCCCAGTGTTCACTCTTAGTACCACTTTTCCTATTGTGGCAATCACACTACGGAACAATCTTAGATCCTTGTTCCTCACTGAAGGGCACCATTATCAGTGGTGTCTTGGCAAGGTGCTTCTCCCGCTCTTGGCTGTGATTCCTCCCATTCTGGTTGCCATGGCCACTAAGAACCTTAAGATTCTTGTGGGTGTGACTGGATCATATGCTGGTACTGGCATACAATATCTCATACCAGCTTTCCTGGTGTTTAATGCCAGGAAGAGAACATTAAAAGTGATCGGACAGGGTGTCAAGAATGATTTTGAATCACCATTCAGAGGAAAAGGCTGGGTGATATTTGTGGTGGTGTGGGCAGTTGCATGCATCATCTTAGTATCCGTTAACTTCATCAAGAATTATTTTATATAGCATAATTTTTATAATGAATAATAAAGAACTGAAATATATATATATATTGGTTGCATGACAGTTTCCATCTTTTCCTTTGTCCTGTTGATCTGTCATTGTTAAACCCCTTTGTGCTTTTCTTTTCTGTACATATTAACTTTTTAAAGCTGGTGCTTTTAAATTTTTTTGTTATCAGTTATAGTGTTACATAATTGTAGTACATAAATTATTATACATTCGTTTTCTTCTGTAAGAGAAACTAAAGCCTATAGCATTTTGATAATGAAGCTATGAATAAAACCTTACCATGAAATGTTACTAACTGGATCATGGCTCTGTTATGTTATGAATCTTTCAACCTTCATTCACTGTAGTTTCATTGTTAGCTATGTTAGCTATCTTAACTCAGAGATTTTTGTAATTGTAATGCTGTAAATATGAGTAGTGTTTTAATTTTTCTTTCTTGCTGTCAGAATGTGGTTATTCAGGCATATTGTGAATATTAAAAATTCAGCAAAAATTTAAGGTACTCAGGTGCCAAAAGCCATGGGATATCAGTATGTAAATTTATTGTTAAGTGGCACCACTGGCCCTTGATGGCTTGGGAATGCCCAGACCTATATCAGTTGTGAGGTGTTCTCTTGTGAATCATGTTGAACACCGGCCAGTCTGCTCAAGGCAAGGCAACATGAATTATTGGAATTTGAATGGGGCATGATAGCGGGGTGCCAGACAGATGGGACATTCCTTTTCCGAAATTGTGCAGCCATTCAACATTCCTTGATCCATGGTGTTACATGTGTACCGGGAATACCTCGTGGAAGGCCTTGCCACCCACCATGAACAGTGCAATGGCCAACCATGGGTGCTTAATGATCGTGACCAGAGGCATCTAGTTAGAATTGTGTGTGGTAACAGACAAGCGACACTGGCTGAAATCAGATCCACATTCAATGCAGGAGGTACCAGACGCATATCCAGCAGGTCAGTGCAGTGTTCTTTAGCTTCCATGGGATATGGGAACAGAAGACCCACCAGAGTGCCACTGTTAACACTATGACATCAGTCACAGTGCCTCACCTGGGCTTGTGACATTGCTAATTGAACCCTGGCAGAATGGCAACATGTGGCATTGCCTGATGGTCACGGTACCAGTTGTTTTGGGCAGATAGTAGGGTTTGGGTGTAGTGCAGACCCCATGAGGCCACGGGCCCCAGTTGTCAACAAGACACTCTGCAGGCTGGTGGTGTTTCCATACTGGTGTGGCATGTGTTCAGTTGGCATGGGTTGGGTCTGCTGGTCCTCCTAACATGTCATTGACCGGTGACAACTACGTTGCACTGCTTGGCAACCATTTACAGCCCTTCATGGACTTTATGTACCCCCACAATGATGGAATATTCCAGCAGGAGAGTGCAAAATGTCACCAGGCCCAAGTTGTCGAGAATTGGTTCAAAGAGCGTTCTGGAGAGTTCTGACGAATAGTGTGGCCACCACGTTCACTCAACATGAACCCAGTTGAGCATTTATGGGACATGCCACCAAACCCTCATGGAACTGGCCAAACATAACAGGATACAACTGATATGGGTGCCAGGGCATGAGGATATTGCTGGAAACGATACAGCAGATCAATTGGCTAAGATTGGAGCTGAACATCCGTTCATAGGACCTGAACCAGCCTGTGGCATCCCTGTAGGAGTTGCCAGAAAGGCACTCAGGGACTGGACAAATATGAAGCACAAGAAATACTGGGGATCCTTGACTGGACTCAGGCAATCAAAGGGACTCATACAAGGACTCTCTGCTAAAAGAGCGAAGGAACTGTTGAAGTTGATCAGGAACCAGCTACGATGAGTGGTGGGATTACTTATAGGACATTGTTACCTCAAAGGACACCTCTTCAAACTGGGACTAAGTGATAGTCCCACTTGTGAGAGGTGTCAAGAAGAAAATGAAACAGCCACACATATCCTGTGCGAATGTGAGGCCTTAGCTTATTTAAGATTGTGTCACTTGGGTCAATACTTTATGGAACCAATTGACTATTTCGACACTCCCACGTACAAAATCCTGTGCTTCATTCAACGCGCAGGATTGCTGAGGCGATACTCAAATGGGGAAGCACAATAGATCACCGTGATTGCCGTGCAAGGGCCGAGAAGGCCCACCCCTTATACATTCATTCATGGGACATGGTGGAGAGGTCCATTTGCACCCAAGATCCTGCACCTACAAATATCGGGGAGCTGTGGGCGGCTATCCAGACGGCATGGCCCAACATCTCTCCAGAGGTCTTCTGTCCACTTGTGGAATCGATGTCACATCGAGTTGCTGCACTTTGCTCGGTTAGTGGGGGCTCCTACATGATACTGGGTCCTTATCCCATGACTTTTGCCAGTTGAGTATATTTCTTTTAAGTAATTTCCATGTGTGCTGTCAGTAGCGCCTTTTTGTTTTAAAATAGTTTTAAGTTCAGTATTCTAACTGTAGTTGCTTTTAACCCTGTAGATCTATGCAATATTCAGATACTTCATGTATTTTATATGTGATATAGCATTGGTACAATCATTCCATGATATGATCCATGTACCTGTTTCTTAGTTACTGTTTCAATGCAAATGATATTTTGATAAACTGTTTTATTATGAATGAGTTTTAAAATAATCTCAGGTGGTGATAACATGTGTCAGAGAAGGGGGATTTAGTTATTATTCCATTTGCTGAGCTTCCTTTTGCATTAGTAATGCTCAACCGTTCCAGTGGTTTCAAGACTTTTTGTACTTACATACCCCTTGGTAAGTTAACCAGGTCTACCTTGCCAAGTGCATGGTTATGAATGTAATAAAATCTAGTCAATGGGCTCTTAGAAGGGGGATGATTTCCCTATAGGTGTCCTCATAAGTGATACTGATGCAGTCTTCTGTGTGTGTGTGTGTGTGTGAGAGTGAGTGAAAAAGCTGAGTGTTCATGCGCGTGTGTGCAGCTTATGTGGTCTTGTGTCGCTAATGCAACATATTAAGTTGATCTGTATTTTAGCATGTTTATTATTTAAGATTAACAGATTGTAGCACATAGCTATGGTATATGCAGTTCCAGGTGGATAAATCATATCAGCTTCTGGCATTTGCTGTTATGGATTACTTTTATATGACTGATTCTGTAACTTCATATCTCATGCTTATATTACAAGGTTGACCATCACCAGAATGAATATGACAGATAAAGTGAGGGTGGAATAGGCAATATTCAGAGTATTTTTCTCTCAGAAACTAGGCAGTACAAAAATGAGACCATAATAGCCTGCAGGATAGCCACCTTAGGTTTCAGTCAGTTGACATCCTGAAAACTAATAAAATTCATGTAAATCAGCCAACTTACTCAGGTATTTCCACTGAACAGCAGGATAATGTCTTCTTTCATAATTTTAAGTTATATTATTTTGATTTGTAATGTAGCATTGATTATTTAAACTAAAGAAAGTGAGCTGAAAATGTTAAATGACAGAGAAATGTTAGAGAACAGTAGCCATGATGGATATAAAAGTCTTCGCATAAAGTTTTTACTTTACCTTCTAGATTAGTCATCTTCACATATAATTAAAGTTTATTTAAATCAAAAGCTCATTTTAATGGGTTTTATATTATATTTTTAGTCAAGATCAATTTTATTAACATTATTTGAGGCACTGTTTTATCTAACATTCTAAGTTGTGTATTTGTATTCAGTATTATTGAACGAGTGGATATCAAAAGTATGAAGTAACATAGCCTCATAGTTTTGAAAGTTGTCACAGGTAAATATAAGATTATCGAATAAAACTGTATGGAATATAGGGAAGAATTTTTTATTGGACAAAAGAGTGAAATAAATTTGGTATCATGGCCATTTCAGGCAAAAAGTCTGTTGTTATTTGAAATTGGTATTATTTACTCATATTTAATTAATTCACAACGTTACAATTAAAAAAGAGGCTTTTGGTTGGATGGTATGAACACATTTTTCCACAGTTAATTTCCATTGAAGTTGAGGTTTAAAAAAATTGTAATGTTTTGTATATTTCTTTAAGAAGATGCACTTAAATGTTGTAAAGTCACAGTTTTTTAAAATTAAAGTGAATATTGATGATTACTAAGAAGAAGTATTAATTATCAGGTAATTTTCATAGCTCAGTAACAGACTGTAAGGAGGCTGCGCCATAGCTCAAGCGGTTAGTCGCTGGCTTCCCACTGCGGCGGCTTGTGTTTGATCCTGGGTCTGGTCAAGTGGGATTTGTGGTGGACAAAGTGGTGCTGGGGTAGGTTTTCTCTGAGTACTTCGGTTCTCCTGCCAATCATCATTCCACCAATTGCTCCACAATCACCCTCACCCATCATCTGGGGCTGGTACAATAGGCCAGAAGTGGCTGCAGTACATGGGACTTAGTCCCACCCCACTAGCAATAAAAAAAACATACTTTAAATTACACAGATGTAAGACCCGCACATCAGAGCCTCAGGTTATATGTTTTCAAATGTAAATTAAAAATAAGACTGAAACCTGTATATCAGATACTGAAGTACTCATGAACATAGTTTGTAAGTGTGCCAGCAATATGCCCTAGAAGATAACATTACTGGTGAGTAACAGTACATGTCCCAGTGTAACTAACTCTATGGTTAACTTGTATGTAGATAGTACCTATTTTTTTAATATTCTGTCTTCACTGTTACATATTTGTAGACTTGTATATATTTTAAATTAATCTAAAATGTTCTGAATTTATGGCCTTTTTCAAGCAAAAGAATTTTATTTCATGAATACTGCCAGAACACATGCATATGATGCGCACACTGCCATTTAAATGGTGGCCACAGTTGCCCTTTTGCATGATGCAAGGGTTTAATGCAATGTAGCCACCCAGTGAAGACATGCTAAACTAGAGATAAAAATATTTATGGACACCAAAGTTTATGTAACGTATGTGGTGTAAAAATAAAACGCCAGTGGCATAAATGATGTGGCAATGAACTAAATTGCGTGCACACATTTTACTGAAAATATGTTTGTATTTTAGTGTCAGGTATTAGTGATACAATGTATTGACCCTGTGCTATGTCTAATAAAGTGGAATACAGTACATTAATATACCTGTCACATAAAACAAAACATAGTTCCTAAAGGCAGTGGATTAACTGGATATAGTGAATTTAAATGATTCAGCAAAGATACGAGCTGTGATTAGTGATAAAATAATTATTGGTGTAAGTTCTGTACAGGTGTCTTCTACTAAAATTTGGACAGTTGTCTGTTTAAGTGGATGCTGGCATATAATATAAAATGTCATTTTTTTTATGCAGAAATAAAATTATTTATGTACAAAATAACAGATAAACTGATTCCTGCCCAAGTTTTACATATCCTTAAACCTGATCCTGTCATACACTGTTACTGGCAAGATTCTATGATGATGTTACTTATGAGGTTACATAATGCAATTAAGACTCATGTATTCAGTTTTCCACAATGCATTTTGATACTACTGTGTCATCTGTAGGTGGAGTCCTCTTAAACTTTATTTGTTGTTTAACTAAATAACTGACCATCTGACTGACAAATTAACTCAATGGAGCAGAGCTGTTGTTAAGAAACTGATGGTTCCTAGATGACTAAGAAATTGTCTGTCCCCTTATAGAATCTGAAAGTTCATACCATCATCACAAGAGCCTGCCACTGAATGGCTTTGTCCATTACATGTATGAAAATCCTTAAGCTGTGATGTGATATTGGCCTCACCATAACTAAAGTTTGAATCACTTGCAGGGTTGGTTTGATATATGTCTTCATGAATGTTTCTAGAACTATATTGCTGTATCATATATTCTGAGAAGTGACAGTGGTGGGCTACAGGCTGGATGGCTGAGGAATTGGGATTCAGCTCCTGGCAGAGCAAGAAATTTTTCTCTTCTCCACAATATTCAGTCCAGCTCTGGAGCTCACCCAGCCTCCTATTCGATGGGCATTTGGAGCTCTTTAGGGGGGGTTTGGGGGGGGGGCAGGAACTGTCACTTCCATCTAGTGCAGAGGTCAAGAATGATGGAACCATACCTCCACTTCCCCATACTTCTTAATTGCATGATGCTTTAATTAATTAAATATTTAAGCACAGGGAAAGTTTTACCTTTACCTTTGCTGAAGGTTGTTGAGAGTTGCTGGGAGTTAAAGTTGATTGGAATTGCACAGAGTTACTAAGACTTACAGATCTTTCCAGTTCACGTTAGGTTGGGAATATACCCCTACCCCCGGTCAGTATCAACACCAGTATGTGCTACTGTCTCCATGTATCTGTGAAATGTCTTTTCATTCTTCTGTGCAGATAAAAGAGACGTTAACCAGGGTCACAGCATATACAATATACTGTCAGATCTTGAGCCTCTCTAAGGGCTCTAAGGTTATAAGTGCTTTAAAAACATGATAAGTGTAATTGACGTGTAAACTATTTTGCATGGAATAAACTGATAGCAGTCCACTAGAACTGAAATTCCCTTGTTAATGTAGTATATTAAAGGAAAACTGTGATAAAATTATGATGTAGTAGCTGTTAAATTATGTTTATTCAGCAAGTACAACGAGACTGTTAGTATTTAAATTGTATATGGTAAAGACTTCAAACCTGATTAGGATATGCGAAGAGCTTGCAGGGTTTGAAATACTGTCAGTATACATTGTTACAGTGTGGAATGATGTTTTATTGATAACACAAGTACATCAAGAGAAATGGTGCTTGGGACTTTCACCATGAAAGAACACAAAGCATACAGATTTGATTAGGGTCTTTGACTTCATCACAGTAATATATGGCAGGCCCAAAAACTAACAATACAGCCAGGAGGCTTCAGAGTCTTACACAGTTCTAACATAATGGCAGACATGCAGTCTCAGAATTTTCACAGCAGTGGAATTCAGAGCTGGATACAAGGGGGAATATCTTGGGTGGTTGCCCCAGGGCCTCCACAAAACAAACAGAATCACTGATGTCACTGAGATATTTGCTTCTCCAAAATTACATAAAAGTTAGTTTCTGTTTTAATTATTATATGAACTATGAAGAAGAAAATTAACTGTCACAACCTAGATTTGTTGTTACTGACAGGGGCCTTCACATTTGGATTGCCCGGGGGCTACCCACAGCTGTAAATTGAATCCTAGTAACCAAGTCTATGACTGTTTACAGAATAAGCCATCTTGGCTTTTCACCTGTCAGCATAATCAAAATGTACAAAGCAAAGCAAAATAAAACTCATTGTTCTTAGATATATAACCTAATCAAAGTAAAACTTAGCTGAAACAGCTGGGCCCCTATTAGGATTACCACAAAGTTGAAACAGATATACAAAATACATTCTGATAACATGACTAGGTTGATTATTTTTTGTAACTGCAATAATATAATTAAAATAATTTGTCACACAACAGAACACAGATGAAAGAATATACTGAATCAGTAATGGTAACATTTCACAGTATTAAGTTCAAAAATGCTAAAAAGCTTTATGTATTTTAAGAATTTCAAATTTTGAAATATACTGTTTTCTGTCTTTCGCTAGTCTCAGCCACGAAAATATTCAATAATTCAGTTTCCTTCTCCTTTGGAATGTCTGAAGCACAAGTTAAGAAGAATGTAAGAGCCAAGCCTCCTAGCATTAACCTTTTTCTGTGAGATGCACACACTTGTGTTAATGGCACCTTATGGATTCAAAATTTACAACATAATATTTATATACAAATGCATGTACCTGCTTAAGATGGATCAACAGATACAAGATGTTCATGGAACGTTTGCAGGCCAATTTTCTTTAGCATGAAACACATAATAATAACAATGCTAATGCTAAAAATATGTAAATTAATATAACAGGGATTTCAAATGTTATTGGTAATGTTGGTATTTAATCAATTACCTTAATTTTAAGCATGAAGTATAACCTAAGAACCTGAGAAAAGTACAGTGTGAATTAGATATTATGCAGTCTTCAAATAGATGCTATAATAAACTTTATGGTTGAGTGGTTACCAGTTTTGCTTTATATTTTGGAAGTTCTGAGTTCAAATCTCAGCCCAAAGACCAGTTATCTTGGTTAAAGTTTGTGATTTTCAGTACCTCTAGGCAAATACTGGGATGGTAGCTTAAATTAGGGTACAACCACATTCCTCTACATCACTTTCAGTTCGTTATTCACTAATAATCCTACCATTCAACACAACACAATCTGAGAAACTGAAAAAATTGTGAACTGAATCATGAATATAAATGAATATTATAAGAAAGCGTAATTATGTACACTAATGAATCGTTTTATTGTCATAAATTGAGGATTTTTCTGTAATAATGGTATGATTATGATGACAAATTATGCCATTGTATGGCACATCATATTTTCAGAANACGGTCTTCTCTTTGGTCATCTCCGAGCAAGCGAGGAACAAATTTTGCAGACACCCGTCTCATGTGCAAACCTTCGGTTAAAATTCGCTGGACCGTGCTCCATGAGATGTTCGTTTCCTCAGAAAGTTGGTCAATGGTCTTTCGACGATCTTCATCAATTGCACGTTTGATTTTGGCAATGTTTTCGTCATTTCTTCCTGTCGAAGGACGCCCGGGGCGTGGCATGTCTTCTGTTGACATGTTGCCAGATTTGAAACGGGAAAACCACTCGTAGACCTGTGATTTCCCCAAAGCATCATCATTAAAGGCTTGCCGAAGCATCCCAACAGTCTCGGCTGCAGTTTTCCCTAACAGAAAGCAAAATTTCACGCACACTCTTTGTTCCTTCTGGTCGGCCATCTCACTAATCGCCAAAGGGTTGAAACAGGAACGCACACAACAGAGCACCACAGACAAACCACTTAACTCAGACTGACGCCAGCTCACTAACAGTCGCGGGAGACCCCCAGCTAACACCACCTAGCAGCACAACTCATAACTACAAAGCATGCACGCACAACAGGTCGTTTCCGGTTATTTTTGGGTCCCCCCTCGTATACTGGGATGGTACCTTAAATTAGGGTACAACCACATTCCTCTACATCACTTTCAGTTCATTATTCACTAATAATCCTACCATTCAACACAACACAATCTGAGAAACTGAAAAAATTGTGAACTGAATCATGAATATAAATGAATATTATAAGAAAGCGTAATTATGTACACTAATGAATCGTTTTATTGTCATAAATTGAGGATTTTTCTGTAATAATGGTATGATTATGATGACAAATTATGCCATTGTATGGCACATCATATTTTCAGAATTGGCACACAGAATCAACATTTATGTGAGTGACCACAAGGTTTTCTATCAACAAGGAAATAAAAGCTAGGTCAGTTACACAAGACAAGAAAGTTGACCTCCAAACCAGTCTTTGTGAACATACTACAATAAACAGCAATACTAGATTCTAAACGGTTCGGACAGTGGTGTATAACACTCAGAATTACTGGGTTTTTGGACTTTGTCCATCATCCAGTATTCTAAAAACTAGAAAACATAATGTTTCAGAAACTGGATCGGTTTTTGTCTTCAGGTGGGGTGGGGGAGACACCTACTCTGTTGGGTCCATTAGAAAGCGCTAACTTCAATCACTGGATCCACTAATTGAGGTTAGCTCTTTCTAAGGGACCCAACAGAGCAGGTGTTTCCTCCCTTATCTGAGGACCTGGTCCAGTGATTGAGGTTAGCTCTTTCTAAGGGATCCAACATAGCTGGTGTCTCTCCCCTCTCACCTAAGGACAGAAACAGATCCAGTTTCCGAAACGTTGTTCTCTGGTTTTTAGAATATTGGACGATGGACACAGTCAAAAAACCCAGTAATTCTAAACAGCAATACTGTGTACATATCACATTGTTAAATATGCTTATAGGTATATATATGGGTATACATATCACAGCTTACAGAGTAATTTAATATTCTTTGGTTTTTATATGGTAATTATTAAAAGTTATAATTTCTTCTTTAATATTTTATGTTGGCAAATATTTGGCTCACTGTAATGCAACAGTTTAACAACCACATTGTACTGCAGTATTTTTAGAGGGACAGGTTACATCAGAAGTGTTATCCTTCAGCTGGAATGATTAAATATTATGAAAATTATTAAAATATAATTACAACATATAATAACATTACCTCAGCAGCCAGGATAACCCAGTTGGGTAGCAACTAGGTTATCGGCTGGATGATCAAGGAACTGGGGTCTGATTCCTGGTTCAGGGGTATGACATAAGGGATTATTCTCTCCACAATATCGAGATCACTTGCTCACCCAGCCTGCTATCCAATGGGACTGGGGGCTCCTTCCTGGAGGTAAAAAAGGCCAGGGTGTGAACCTGATAACTCATCTTCCTCTAGCATAATGGTTGAGAATGCACAGAACTATACTCCTCCCCCCATATATCATCATGGTGTGATCTAATTATTAACCGTTGTTTAATTTCTTCTGGAATGGAAGGTTTCTGAGTTTCACTCAACTTCTCAGGCATAACAGTAGAATATGGCAAAGAAAATGCTCTTTGGTTCAAGACAAGAGAAGGAACTCAGGATCTCAATATCACTGTTTTAAATAATCTAAATTTTATAGCCACCTACATTAGTATTATTGTTCTATAACATTTAACTGTTAATGAAAATAAAATATCAAACCTAGAAGATCATGACAGGCTTCAGGATGGATGGCCTAGGTTTGATTCTTGGGAGGGTAAGATTTTTCTCTTCTCCACAGTGTCTATACCAGCTCTGGTGCCCAACCAGCCTCCTATCCAATGGGTACAAGAGACTATTTTCCTGGGGGTAAAGTGGCCAGGGCATGAAGCTCACCACTCACCTCTGTCTAATGCTGATGTCAAGAATGGTGGAGTTATACCACCATTCCCCCATATATCTTCATTGCGTAGTGCTATATTAAGCACAGGGACAACTTTACTTTTACCTAGAGGATCACCCACAACTTTGTAGTAGAAGTGATCTTTAACCAATAAAATAAAAAGAGTGATATACTGTATTTACACACGTATAGGCCACACATTTTTTGCCAAAAATTCAAGAGGAAAACTGGGGTGCGGCTTATATTCGAAATATTCGAAATCACACTGCATTTAAAAAAAATTATATTCATAATTAGTAATACAGGGTGTTCTACTCCTGAAATAATATTCCAAGAAAATTATTTTTTCTATAATTTGTCTGAAAATTGTGCTGCGGCCTATACATGCACGCGGCCTATACATGCGTAAATACGGTATATGTGGCCTTCCACACTGCATATCCTTGAATAAATTTCCTTTCAAATACCCTGTCAGCATTACTAACACCTAGTCACATCGTAAAACAGGAAGTTGTAGGAAGAACTAATTGCCTACTTTGAGATTCATAAAGATCAGTTCAGGCTTTCAGAAGTTGTTAGGAGGGATACACATATAGACACACACACACACACGGATAGCACGGAGATCTCATAAGCCAACTTTAATTTTTTGAAAATAAGGGAAGTAGGCTAAATATACTAACATCCAGTTATCAGAGAAAATCATGTCTGTGTGAGTTTACGGCCTTTTTACATGCTACCATCCAAAAACATATTAAATTGTCAATGAAATACATGCAAATGAACTGGCAAGCTTGCTGAGATAATTTACCTAGTATTTTGTATTAACAAATAATACAATATGAGTTTCTTCTCAGTCAGGATATTTGAATATTAAATGCTCTGTATGTCTCAAAGTACCAACTGGATAAGAGGCTGATATGTGTCACAACAGTTCTAGACATGGTGGTACAGGTTGAATTTGTAACTAGGAAAGCTATTATGCCTCCATACAAAGCACAGGGAGGATAAGAATGTTGACATCACATTTCAACTGAACTAGGTTAACACTTGTAACACTCTTACGATGCTAACAGTGAGACATTATCTTTCCACATATACGTATACAAGACTTCATTCTGCAATCGCATTTGCAGATCCTGTCCCAGTTCATGTACTGTGAGCAGTGTACTACTGGAATGTGGGTGATTGAGCTAGAACTGGGTTGTCCATATAGGCCAGTCCTTAAACAGTTAATCTTTCCATCATGAATGTATATGAAAACAGGTCAAACATGAATACAGCATCCCTTAGTTACAGCTGTCACTGATGCTGTGACCCACGATGTGGACACGGTTCACCCTCGGCATGCTGGCCAATACATTCCACTATAGGGGCATGAGTAGAGTCCCACATTCCTGGTCCACACAACTGGCACAGGCTGCCCAGAGTACATGGGATTCGTGGCATCTGACGGAACTGGTGCAGCAAACCCCGTGCCTGGATCAGAGTAGATATATTATGCCTTCAGGTATTTCTATGTCAGTTTTAGTATGTAAATATGTTGTTGTCGTCATCATCATGGGGGCATGAGAATCATGAATTAAGTACAGGTTTTTTCGTAGATTAGAGAATCATACCAGCAGTTAAGAGGGTAGAATTTCTTAGTGATAGAAGGTATTACATAATACTAAGATGTCAGTGGTGCGATATCATTGTTCTGAATGTCCATGCCCCAATAGAGGACAAAATTGATGACATGAAGGACAAGTTCTATAAAGAACTAGAACATGTATTCAATAAATTCCCTAAATACCGCATAAAGATTTTGTTAGGAGATTTCAAGGCCAAAGTAGTTAGGGAAGACATTTTGAAACCAACAATTGAGAATGAGAGTTTGCACAAAATTAGTAAAGATAAAGATAATAATTTTTTGGTCAGTAGTGTGAATAAGATCATCACTCAACACAGATGGCCAACCATTCTTTTTTTATCATGAACATTTGTTTGCCCACCTTCGAACATTTTACACCATTGCCTTAGTTCCTTCATTCATTACATTTTGGCTATAAATCGCGCATAATTTACAACAGATTTCCACAGCACTCACGTTTTTTAGCGTGAAGAAAATGGATAACAATGCAAATTTCACAGCTGGCAGGAATATCAATTACAGGACAGAACCTAACTCACTCTGTAGAGGCAAGAACAAAACTAGGGGGCTAATTATGTGATTGTTTACAAAGCAATGAGTCATATGATGCTACTTGCATGCACAAGCTCACCCCAACTTCTACATTAGTTGCCTAAAATAAATTGGTTACTTTCCTAATAGCCATCATATAATAGAAGCAGAGATTCCTGAAAAATGGGTTGAAGAAGATATGGTACCCAATTCCAATTGCTCTGATACTAGAGAATTGATATAAAAGAAAATGTAATTAAGTTAAAAATTTGACATGGTATTTTTACCTTTCTGAGGATGAGTTCACCATCCATGAACATGGCTAGAGAACTAAAATGAAGAAGCATTTCGTCTGTGCGAAGATCCTGTGCAATAACATCGTATGAGTAGATGCTGATGATGGCGAGACAAAGGAAGAGATGGAAGTAGTCCGTGAGGTAGTTTGCCCAGCATGCCTCCCACATCCTCAGAGCTTCTGCTTCTGGAAACTCTCGCTTGAAGCATCTGTAACAGAAATCCGTTAAAAGCCCCTTGTGATTTGTTGGAATATTCAATTGGATATAAAATGAAATAGCCGGTCATGGTATCTGAGCGGTCTAAGGCATGTACTGTCTTCACTCGCTTGGAAACCTGGATCGTGGGTTCGAATCCCACTCAGGGCACTGATGTTTAGTTTGTGTTTGTGCGTTCTTCTGTGTTTGTGTACAGGCAGAGGCCTTGTGATGAGCTGATCACCCGAATGTGTAAGATCTAGAAAAACCGAAGTGAACGGAGAAGTTCATGGGCCTAGGCCCACTGGGGCTGTAGTGCCAAGGAAAAAAATGAAATAAAAGAATGTTCTTGATAAGATGATAAGTCTTTTTTCTGAGGCATGGACATGAAGTTTTCCTGGATGGAAGATGCTGATGTTAAAACAATACCATGAAATGTCATGTTCTTAGTTGTATGTACATATGATCTTAAACTATTGAGAAATATCATGAAATTGCCACCTTGGTCTCTTAAGGCAATTATGCATTAAGCTAATAATTAGATTACAAGTGTCAATATAAGCCAAAGCCATTCTGTCATATCTTCTGCAGTCCAGTAGTTTCATGACAAAGCATTCAGTATGTTTTAACCATTTAAAGCACAGTAGTTTTTATATGTACCAACTACTTTAACATTAAAAAAAATCTGAATTTTGTCGACAGTGTTTCCCCTAGGATTCTCAGAATAAACAGCAATTGATTCCCTAAACATCACTTTGCCCTTGTAAATGTGAGGTAGTGTGTTTACTTTACAGTAAAAACTGGATTTAATATGTTATTTATATGAACAGTGTGCTTCAAAGGTTTAGGCTGAAAGTATTGCCAATCCATCTCTTAAACATCTTTCATGCTATCTTGTTCTTTCTGTTTCAGACTTTGAAAAACATGGTTATGAATTAATGCTGTTTAAAGTGTACACTAATATAACAAGTTGGAGCTTTATCAGTCAACTGTACCCAACCAAAGAAACAACAACTGAAATTAGAAAGCACACAAAGGACAAGAACTTAGCACATCTTCACACTCAAACTGGGCACTCAGTTTCTATAAGGTTGGCAAGCCGAACGTATGGAACAAATTACATCTCTTGAGCATGAATCTAATGAGTTTGAATTTCCTGGACCAATTCTTTGCTACCTTCAGAAATCAAGATTTTCCACCAGCAGGAACTTATGAAATACATTCAACAGCTTTGTTACTTACAGTAAGATCCAGCGGTGGCAGAAAAGGAGTTCCATGGCATCGTCATGACTCTCAAGGTGGGAGTAAAACTGAGGTACCATAAGACGGATGAGTTCCCTCAGATAACTCTGCAGCATGCACATAATACCAAATCTCAGACAATAAAAGAGCCACGGAACAGAAAAGAAGGCTGACTTATATGATAATAAAACCATTATTACATATCATACCAACAGTTAAAATATTATGGAAACAACTGGTGAAAGATAGAGAAGAAATGTGATCACTGACTTGTCACTCACTAGATTTCACTGAAATATTTATGATTACAAGTTAATACAATAATTAACTTCATTTGTAGAATATACACTTGAAATTCAAACATGAGTTTCAGCTTAATATATTCTGATATTTCAGTGACATTTATTACAACCCTCCATATACATTCACAAGCCAGTACCTTTCCATCATACAGTTCTCAGTTAATTATAGGAACTCAAGAATATATAACTTGACATCCACTTGTATACAGCCATGATGCACAGTAATACAGGGCCCTCTAGAGCCACTGCCATTCATAGCACTACCAACAGGGACAATGATACACTCCTGTGTTGATACAAGGAAGCAGGGGTTCTATGCATAGTTCAGCTACAAAGTGCACTGAGGCTAGGAGTCAGTGTCACTGAAGAAAATTCTTACCAAATTCCTGTCCATGTCATTGTCAGTTGGTGTGCAGACAAAGATGGCTTTCTGCATGAGGCCCACGAAGCACCAAAATGCATCTGACTCACCGTGTATTTCCGCGAGCACGGGAGCAAGCAGATCTGACATGCCCTGAGTGTATCCAAACCCTGGATTATAAACTGCATAGTTGAGGAGGATATTCCTGAAACAGGGGACAGTAAGAATCAGAGCACGTTAACATTTCAGAAATAAGTGGATTCAAAATCAAAACTGTGACTATAGAAAATTACACATTGAAGAGCTTAGCAATTATAATCTTCATCTAATACTGTCATAGTGACTAAATGGAGGGGGGGGAGGATATTAGAGGAGGGGTGTGAAGATGTGGATTCAGATGACGTGGTGATGAACAACAACAGTAGGAAATTCTGTGAATTCAAGGAACATCCTCTACCATGGAGTTAATTAGTTGCAGATTCTGATTACCATATTAACGCATGTATAGGCCGTGTGCGTGTATAGGCCGCAGCACAATTTTCAGACAGAAATTATAGAAAAAATAATTTTCTTGGAATATTATTTCAGGAGTAGAACACCCTGTATTACTAATTATGAATATAATTTTTTTTAAATGAAGTGTGATTTCGAATATTTCGAATATAAGCCGCACCCCAGTTTTCCTCTTGAATTTTTGGCAAAAATTGTGCGGCCTATACATGCATAAATATGGCATTCAAATCAGCTGCTTACTGAGTCAATCCAAACATTACATGTACTGATGGCTGACATTACTCTTACTCTTGCTCTCTTCTCATACAGACAGTTTTCTCAGTTTCATTTGAAAACTGAAGGAATATAACTTAGAAGTAGGCCACAGATGCACAGCTCATTTGACTTAACATTCATATTCTCATATTTTATATTTGAGATAACATCTTTCCAGAAGTTGATACTCAAACAGGTAATAAAATATAAAATTCTTTATTAGAATCTGTCACAACACAACAACGAAACAGTTAATGTTTAATAGTATTTAGCTAGATGTTTTGGCTTTTTAGAAAGCCATCATCAGGCTATTAAGTATTAAACATTGACAGTTTCATTGTTGTGTTTTGATGGATCCTATTAAAGAATTTTATATAATTAACACAACAGGATGCACCCACTGGAAAGTAAAAAGGCAATAAAATATTCAAATTATTATTCTAAAGTATATTTCTTGATAAATGATATGAACTCCATCCCAAGTGCAAACAATATATTATATGTCCTGCTCTCCTTTACACTACATGTTTCGGCCTCAAACGGCCGTGAAAAGGAGAGCAGGATCAAGGACATATAATATATTGTTTACACTTGGAACGGAGTTCATATCATTTATCGTATAGAGTGCAACAGGATGCTTAAATACAATATTGTATATTTCTCACTTCATAACATCAATGTTGGGGTTATCCTCGCCAGCAAAGTAAGGATTGCCTCTGTCTGTGCGTACAACATCCTTTTCTACAATGCACTGAACATTGCGCCAGAAGTTTTGTTGCTGCTCTGTGTCCATCTCCAAACGTCTGCGACTGTAACAAAATGAACACTTCCACTATCACACAGTTTCACCATGATGTGATGGTGGTGATTATTATCTTTATTATTATTACTAGAGGGGGTGGGTTTCCCCATGCACTTAGACCAGTTATTGGTCCATTGTGCGTTCCCCTTTAATTTCTACTGTCGCCATACCCTACCGGTACCGGTGCGTGCTATCAGCCCCGTTCAGCCAACGAGGTCGGCCGTCAGTACCTTGATACTTCCCCCATCTACCAGAGGCATTGGAAACTATTTGGGTGGGAAACTTGCCTAATAATTTTGCTCAGAGGTCTCCTAGAGACATGAGGATCTTTTACGTGCCGTAAATCTACAACACGGGACCCACGGCTTAAAGTCCCTCCTGGAGGACTTGTTCCCTGAATTTTTCCACCCTTAAAAATTCCACGACCTCCGCCGGGTTTGAACCCGCGTACCTTGAGTCATGAGGTGGGAACGTTATGGTGGGTGATACTTGACATAAAAATAATTAATTCTTTTTGGAAAGGCTACAGTATGCCATATTTTTCATACCTGAAATTATTCTGGAATTTGAGATTTGTTTATAGACTGCTAAGGACACCTTATGGGGCTCGAACATCTCTCTGACTCACTTCTCTGTATTGCAGAATGAACTCTCAAAATGTATTTTAAAATTATTTTCATAACATTTTTTGACATTCTTTTTCTATGGCATGCCCTGATATTATTTTATTAGTTGTGAAGGTGGCTTTTAGCCTGCAAGCGAAATATACCAAGTGACTGCCGCTTATTGGCAAAGTTAGTGCCAAGTTTTTGAAGAAAGAGGGTGTTGCGTGGTCAGTGCAATGGATTCCCACGGCCGTTAATCTCGGTTTTCTAGACCGAAGCCACTACTTTTCCATTCAAGTAGCTCCTCAATTATCCTCACGAGGCCAAGTGGGCCCCGTTTCAGACTCACTACTTCTCAGAAAACCTGGTAGCGCCAGGAATCGAACCCGGGACCTATGGATCTGTAGCCAGGAACTCTGACCACTAGACTAGTATGTAGAATACTCTGACAAAAACTGGACACACCTCTGAATGTAATGTAGAATGTGTGGTCCCCAAATCTATGACTACACCATACTGCATTATATGTAAACTAATTTCTAACCTAATAAATAAAGAAAATTATCCTCATGTAAGTGACAATGTGAAGCAAAGCACAGAAGGAGCCATCTCGATAAATATGATAGAAACCAGCAGAGATACTCCCTACTGTTAATTTTAAAACTGCCTAACTACCTTTTCATTCAAAATATCCCTCTATACTCACGTTATCTCATGATATTCTTGATGACGAATTTCAAGTATCTGCTCACGCTCTTCATATGTTGACTGGAAGGTAAAGCAGTGAAGGAGGAAGGGCCATACTTTGCGTCTCATGCTTGGCTCCAGCCCTCCAAAGAAGATGCCCTGAATCAATTATGAATGCCGTATCTGACAGAATCATTAAATAACAAACATAAAATAGAAAACCATTTGCCACATCAACTTTTAACTAAAGAAGTTAAATTGATTCAAATATTATGGTGAAGCTCTCAGGAAATCACCACTTACTTACTTACTTACTCATCGAGCTGAGCCCTTCTGGAGGAGCCGCCAATTCTGCAGCTACTCAAGAATTTCCCAGCATTTTATGGAACCCGAACGTTCATTACCGTGTTCACAAGAGCCCTCCACTGGTCCTTATCCTGAGCCAGATATACCCAATCCATACCATCCCATCCTATCTCTCTAAGATCCATTCTAATATTGTCCACTCACTTACGCCTTGGTCTTCCCTGTGGTCTCTTTCCTTCTGGCTTTCCCATCAATATCCTACACGCATTCCTCGTCTCCCCCATTCATGCTATATGACCTGCACACCTCATCCTCCTAGACTTGATCATTCTAATTATACTTGGAGAAGAGTACAAGTTATGAAGCTCCTCATTATGCAGTTTTCTCCAACCTTCTGTCACTTCATCTCTCTTCAGTCCAAATATTCTCCTGTTCTCAAACACCCTCAGTCTATGTTCCTCCCTTAATGTCAGAGACCAAGTTTCACACCCATACAGAACCATAGGCAAAATTATAGTTCTGTATATTCCAATTTTTATGTTTTTGGACAACAGACGAGAAGACAAAAGGTTCTGGACTGAAGGGTAGCAAGCATTACCCGAGTTCAATCGCCTCTTAATTTCCTCCTGAATCAGGTTTCGATCTGTTATCGTTGTCCCCAGATATCTGAACTGTGCCACATTTTCAAAACATCTGTTTCCTATCAGGAAATCACCATAATAAGAAAAATATTTTTCTACAAAACTTTCATTTTAAGGTGCAGAATGTACCATCTCTTCAGTATTTTTATCCACATTTCTACTAATTTACTATGTAGCGTCCTTGAGAAGCCTTAACTAGCTCATCTAGTCAAAAAGTTCTCAGCCTTTTATGGAACCTAAAGGTTCATTACTGCGTTCACAAGAGCTCACACCATTTTTACTGTTGTAGTTTGAACATAAGCAGTACCTTTCTGAGTGTGAGGTCATCCTCCAGTTGTCCATCCTCATTGAGAAGACTCAGCCATTCTTCTTGTCCCACAGGAGGTACCAGACCTTCCTCAGGATGCAACTCATCCTGGCTCACTTCTGGTCTTTATCACCACGACCAAACACCACCAGAAGAAATGATCAAGAGTGAAGAAACAGTTGTTACTTGTATGATACATGAGTGGTGCATTTATCAGATGCTGTGCTGTGTTCTAAGTCAACAAAGAAGATAACATAAAGGTACATGCTACGACTGATATATGTCACACAAACTTAGTTTTCCAAACTAAAAAGTCATACACAGAGAGACACGCTAATGTTAATACTGTATTTATGTTCAGTGTCCATCATGGTGGTGGTTGTGGGACACTAATTTACAGATTTTAAACATGGAATATAAAAATTAAAGGCTATTTCAGGTCTAAAAGATTATCAACTCCATCCGGTGTGATTGATAAATGTTTTTTTCTCATTTTTAATCTTTCGTCCTTGACATGTTTCTGTCAGAGCGACCATCCTCAGAAGGACATACATGCAGGAACTACTATTACATATTCTATTGAACCATATACATAATAGTAGTTTCCACATGCATTGATATATCCTTCTGAAGATGGTCACTCCAACCAAAACATGTCAAGGATGAAAGATTAAAAAGGAGAAAAAACATTTATCAATCACACTGGATGGAGACAATAATCTTTTATAGTACTGCTAGCGTGACAGACCAGGATGAACCAAATTAAATATTTCAGGTCCTTTTGCTGATTAACAGTTGTTGCTGAGGATTATTACTGTTGTGAAGTCATGCCCTGCATCCAAAATTCTATGCACACAATCACGTGCACACTCTCTCATGCACACACACACACAGCGAATTCTCAAAAGAAGTCTGCGGTGTTTGGTGTCATGCAGAAATGAAACCTGAGAATGAAGCAAAATGTCATACTGCTTGTAAGAGAGATCCCTTGAGGTCAGCCAGTAAATTAATGTACACACGAACAGTTCACAGAAAAAAGAAGAAGAAGAAGAAGAAAAGAAGCACAGATATGCCTAACATGTAAAGCTTTAGTGCATAGCTAAGAAAAACCTGTGTATTATATGACCGCAGAACTGCGTACGTTATATGTAACTATAAAGTTCTATGTCATCAAGGATTTTGTTTATATTCATTCAGCTATTATATCAAATAACAGGGATGAAAGTACTGGAATATCCAACATCTTTTTGCTGATATAGCAACTTTTCATCTGTGCGGAGTTATTAAACAGCATATACACAGGATGTGGCATTTAGGAATTCTCCACCATATACAAGGGAACAGAGACTGGTCAAAGCTGAAAGTGTGATGTAGCATTTGTGAAGACATCACCGACCCACAAGCAAATAAGTACCCTCCACAAAGAAATAAAAAATCAGTATAGGTAATGTGGTATATGGAGGTGAGTTATAACAGTGTGGACTTTTCATTACAAATCCACGGGATTATTTCAGGGGGACAACATCATTAAGAGCCCAAAACATGCAGAATTTTTAGTGACCGAGATGAAAATAATTAAGTCCTTCAAATCTTACTATGTCAATAATATTATATTTCAGCATCCTGTTGCATTGATATCTCACTTACCCAATCACTCACTCACTCATTTCCATCTATAATGCAAACACACTTTTTATTTTAAATGTCACTTATAGCTGCATTTAAAATTCACAAAATATGATTTGTTGCTACATGTTTTGTCCTCATGAGGCCATCATCACCATCTGTTAACTGATTGAAACTGTTTTCATGTTGCATGAGGAAAGTGTGAGCATACATTCTTGAATATGATATGCAATGACAGCATGTAAATGTATTGATGTGTGAGCCCGTGCAGTGTATAGTTTCAATCAGTTAACAGTTGTCTGACGATGGTCTCGTGAGCCCAAAACATGTAGCAATGAATGACATTTTATGAATTTTAAATGTATTTAGAAGTCACATTTAAAATAAGAAGCATGTTTGCATTATAGATGGAAATGGGTGAGTTACTATGTGAAGGTTACTTAACTACATTTATAGAGGTTCATTTAAATCTTCTTGCATTTTAAGTCTAATTTACTGTTTTATGAAATTTTCTGTAAGAACGAACATAAATGGATTCAATTTTTAGGTCTGATAATAGTCCAGTTGCTTTAAACCAACTTTCGTATGGACAGCTTCAGAAGGAAATCATTAAATTAACAATTACTTCTGCATACAAATATGCAGCATTCTCTCAATTACTTTTTCTTGAATACGATTTGAAGTTCAGTATATCTGTACAAGTCTCTGAGCAGCCTGTTTAATAAGTGACCTGCCTTGTACAGTACATGAGCTATATTATCACCAATCATGGATGTAAGAATCATGCTGCTGCTTACTTATACACGGTATACACACCTGCAAACCATGAAGTGACGATATGGGAGTTGCGACTGGTCAGCTGCACTAGGCTGTGGACTTTGGAGCAAGAAATTCCAATCCTGGAGCACAGTGGCCAACCGATCTAATCCTCCATGATGGAAGTGCAGGATCTTATACTGACTTTCCCTTGATGCCACCACCAGTTGCCCACATGTACACGCGCTGTCATTGAAGAACAGCCGAAGTGATCTCATCTGACCTGCAAGTATAATGTCCTACTGTAACACAACAGTATATGATTATGTTACATTGTTCTTTAGTGCTAAGTTCTACATCTTAGGAAAATTGAGTTTTTCTGTGATGTCTTTATACATGTTCATTTATACCATAAACTTTTAAAATTTTACAAGAAAATATATATAGTTTTTAGGATCACTTCCATGATAATCATAATGATACAGAAAAATTATAATTTAAAAATATACAGAGAGCCAAAATGGGATATTTACTAACTGATACATATTTTCAAAGATATAAAGTGAAATATATTATTTCAACGAATCAGAAATCCTCTAACATTACTGTTCAAATAAAGTGCTATATGGACATATTACATAATAAGATAAGTTCTCGGACATCCAAGACAAAACTCCTGTCAACATATGCTGTCTTATGATGTACAGTATTCTCCCAATTATCTGTGCTAACAAAGGAGAAAAGGTACGTGGGTAATTGAAAAACGTGGATAATCCAGAAGACTATAATGATCATTATAAGTACAGGTACAGCTATCCCTGTAACAGGCCATGGAGGCCCATTGGGTTGTGAGAGGTCAAGGCTCCCACATTTTCTAGACATGTGGCTCACAGATGGCGGTGAGGTGGTCAGCCTTACACACCAGCTGACCTTTGTCCCCCAGGAAGATTCCTGGTACTCATTTCTGTTAGAGAGTGTGTTGAACCTAGGTTCACAGTGCAGCTGGAAGGATTAGGTCAATTGTAAAAATCCAATGACCTCACTGGGAATTGAACCCGAGACCTTCCAGCTTGCAGCATGGTGCCTCAACCAACTATGCTACCGCGTGCCTCCCTATGATGATTATTGAATATATAGATTGAGAAATGTATGCACAGTGTATGAAATGTCTGATTAACTTGAAAACTGGAAGATGTATGGAAAAAGGGTAGCAAACATAAAATGGGTTGTTGCGTTTCTCTACAAATTCTGTTTGAAATATTTTCACTAAAATAAATATTTAGCAAGTTACCCTGGAAATATATGCAAGAATGAATGTATGTCTTCATGCAAAGTGTCTGATCTAAATGACAATTGTAGTGACTTGACAATTCCTATATCAAATTTCATAAAAGAAAGATCCAGTGGTCCTACTGTTTCATACATCAACTGGATGGACAAACTGAGCAAAACTTAATAGGCACTCCATAAGGTATACATGTAAGCTGCAAGCCAGATCGCCTGTTCATAGATAATTGGAAGTATACTGTAAGCATAACTACCTTGGGAGATGTAAATGAAACTCTTCTTAAAATTTTGGATTTTTCTTCATAACATGTATGTATGTATGAATGTATAAGGGGTGGGCCGTCTCGGCCCTTGCACTGCAACCTACAGTGATCTATTGTGCTTTTCTTCATAACATACTTTAATCTATTTTTGTAGGTTACAAGACTGAAAAAAGAAAAGGAAGTCTGGTGGATGTTTTTAGTATAAATCAATTTTATTCATGATCAGCGATTCCAGTTGAATCAAGTAAATTGTATAATATGAGTACATATAATCCTCAATATCTGACAGAACAGAGGCATTTCAGGTTCTCTTGTTTGTAAAAAAATTATGACGGAAATTATAAATTACAGAAAAACATGATAAGAAAATGAGAAGACAGAAACTGCAAATTTATCAATACAAAAAACAAAGAGAAAAAACAGCTTATAGTTTCCATACTGAGGTCTACAGAGAACTGCCGGCAGCGGTGTGTGCGACGAACAATGGGAGATGCAGTGGCACTCTCAGGAAAAGTTAGATTGTGCTGTAGGGCCAGCAACTCTGGTGAACTCATCCAAGGTGGGACATCGTCTGGATGCAGAAACAAGGATACCATCATCCATATTGTTTTGTAGTCTGCACTTTTATAAAAAGGTAACTTCATGTATGGTAGATAAGACCAGCCATATTATGCAAATTTTGATTTGTATGTTCTTTTTACGAGTAGTGCCATCTTTATATTTGTAATTTATTTGTTAAACAAAGATAACCATGTGTTTTGTACAGAGCTGAAGTTCTTGTTACATTAAAATCAATAATAGTGAAATACATTATTCTACAAAATTCGACATTTTCATGTCACTAATTAAGATTGTAGTCATGCTGGTGTAGTTTTGTAAGCAGTTACCAACATTTTGGACAAATCTGTCCCCACATTCAAGATAGAAGTGGAAATGAAGATGGAAGCAACAGATTTATCCAAAAGGTTGGTAACCATCTGTGAAACTACAAGGTATCACAGCCCAGGAGACCATGATCTCACATTACTGTATGTTAACATGATGAAGAATAGATTTATGTTTGTTTATGATGTTTTATAAAATTAAAATTTTCTTTATGGTAACATGTGGAAAGGGCCATATTATGTCAGACAGGTGTTGAATAATGTCTTCAAAGATGCTGTATATATATCTGTGTGTGTGTGTGTGTGTGTGTGTGAGAGAAGTTCTGCTCTACCTTCACCCAAAAAAGGAGTCAGCCTTAACTGCAGCAGTCATACTATGGCCAGTCCACATAATTCTTATCACACCCAGCATATACATATAAAAATATCTCATTAATTTCAACATTAAAATATATTTTCTGTTTTTATTCACACAACTTGAATTATAACCAGCGTTTCAGAGATCTTCTCGGTCTCTATCATCAGGGTCAATGTGGATGGCTGATATTTATACCAGTTTGTCAAATTGATGCCTCTTCCTATTGGTGTATTATGTAGTAGGAGACCGAGGAGATCTCTGAAACATTACTTTTTAGTTCAAAGCTGACATGGCTGACACCCAAAGACCACATTTGTTCGCCGTGAAAGCTTCAAATCCTACATTATATGCAAATTTCTCCATCATATATTATGTTAATTGAAGAGAGATTTTGGACTGACCTCCAAGAATTTGTTACCTTGTTTGCTTACCTCCACCTGCTCCTGCAACAATAAGGGGAAGAGACAAACTGCAGGTAGACGTGAGGGACGGAGAACGACTTATTTGACTTATGCTGGGGATGGCTGCAGTCTCATAATCCTGGTTCTCTTCTACACTGATAACAGGACTGACAACTGTACTGTGACCCTGATCACTGTCTGTTTCTGCCACCCCAAGCAGACCACCATCATGACCACTAAGTTTCCTCTTGCATTCTAGTGATCGTGGTCTTGATTTTTGTTGTTGCCCACTGCAAGTTGAGCGACTTCTGTTGTCAGTGGTACACACCTGTGCTGTGTGTGATGTCTCTTCTGTGCAGTAGTGTCTAGATTTGTCTGAGCAATGTGTTGAGATTGTGATAGCGTTTGTACATTGCTCAGAAGGAGATATTTGTTCAAGGGTAGCACAAGGTTTGGTCTCATGAGACTGTTGTGTCATGTTACTACAGCTGCTACTACTACTGTCTGCTGAGCTCTGACGCTGATAATTAGGTGCAATCTGTATCTCTTCACTGCAAGTGTTCTCTCGGTATGATGTCACTATAACTGGAGTGGCTCCTTGTTCCTCTGTTCTGTAGAAAAATGGATGTGCAACAAACTTCATTACATAATAAACATAAAACGAATACCTTTAGAAAATAAAGCAGGTACTTATAGACTGGCTTAATAAAAAAAAGCATTACAAATGATTGTCACTGGCATGGTACACTTTAAGATTCCAAAGCTAGAGAACTCACAGATCTTAATACCTATGTATACCAGTTTACATGTGTATAAAAATGTTTCCATGCAAATTTCACATACCAAGACACAATGATTCATGAGTTATATTCAACAAAATGAATATATTACACAGTCATTATTGAGGTAGTTTTCATTTACCTATGAATATTAAAAGCTGCATGTTTTTCAAACATATACCATTATACAAAATTTCAAGGCCCTACATTGGACGATGATAGTGTTGTTCCCAACTCACAGGTTTGGATCGGCATCATGGTGGTATTGGTAATGATATGGATAGGTCTGTAGTAGTGTGATATTCCAAGCAAGCGTCAGGATATTGGCAACTTAGTAACTCTAAAACTGACGCTAGCTGAATGGTTGAATCAGACTGACGCATGCTGCTCATTAATTGTAAAACTTTAGGAATCCTTTTCCTTTGAAACCCATAAAGGTAAAATGAAGTAAAGTTTTCTCGACACTTAATTACCTAAGCACCACATCATGAAGATGTATGAAGGAGTTGAGGTATAGCTCCATGCAGTCTTAACCTTGGCATGCCATGGAAGGAGCCCCTGGTATCCATTGGATAAGTGGCTGGGTAGGCCCTAGAACTGGTCTGGATGCTGCGGAGGAGAGAAAAATCCCTTGCTCCTGCTGGGAATTGAACTCCAATTCCCTGACTATCCAACCCTTAGTCAGTCACTGTACTGACTGAGCTATTCTAGCCCATAAAGAAAATATCTCACATTGCTTTAGATATAATGCTGTTAGGTTTTGTCTCTTTAATATCCACTTTTAAGAGGGAGTTAATGACTGCTTTTTACAACTTAAATAATATTTTCATGGTGGTATTAATCACCACACATTCCACAGTTTCCAAGATATAAATGTAATAGGCTGCAGTGATAACATCCAACTCTGTTACATAAAAACTACCATTTTGACCTGCCATGTTATTTAATTTGAACATTTAAATTTTAAATTCATAACTTTCCCACATTCAGTTTCCAAGACATAGATGACTGAAGAATGCATATGTACCGAACAGAATGTGTAAGCCGTGAACAGGATTTCTCAACAGTCCATGGGTTGCGTCGCAGTGTGGTGTTTGGTATCCATGTCAACTGCAGTGTGGGCCTCATACTGCCATTCTGTTGCTGCTGCTCCTGACATGTAATGGTGAGGTAGCCAGGATGGTGCACAATGTCACATGCCTGGCGCAGAAGAGTTGGTGGATGCACACATACGTTGTTCTTACCTATGAATAAGTATTACATGTACAGTGTTAGTAAGACACATTCATTTGCTATGTATTCCTAATAGTCTTTCCTCCGTGGCCTTCAGTCCACAAGCGAACTATACTGACTGAGAGACTGCTGCTTGTTGGCGAAGTTAGTGCCAACTTTAGTGGATAGAGAGTGTTGCGTGGTCAGCGCAACGGATTCCCATGGCTGTTAATCTCAGTTTTCTAGACCAGAGATTCCTAATATTAGCAGTAATGAAATGTGACTGCCAACAGGCAGTCATAGCAGCAGAAATTGTTAGTTGGGCTGCCATATTAGGCATTGTAAGTATATTAAAAATGACTAACATTACTGTACACATCATATTAACTTCTGTTACTCATAGCTCCTAAGTTATGTAACAAGATCTTGGTAACACTTTTCAATGGGCCTAAAATCAGTGTATAAGAAATAATTCTTATAAAAATGGACTCACAGAAAATAGTTTCCCCATCAGTAAAGGAAGGTGGTGAAGGGGTCCCTGTCTGGACTCCCAGGATATAACTGGAAGCTCTCCTCAAAATGTTGGGGAGTGGCATCTCTCCACCTTAGGATAAGTTCTGGGCTGACATACCTTCAAATAGAGAACCATATGAGAGTAGAGCTCTTACAGATTCTTGTTAACTGGGTATGCATATTTGATGTTCCAAAACAGGCCCTTATGACATGGATAATACGGATTCAGGCTTATGTATCTGGATTGTGAAAGATGTAAAATTGGACCATGTAACTCAGATTCACATTAATGCGCTGTGACATATGACTCTAAAGATATTACTGGGAAAGGTGGCTCTAGTGTTAATGCTTCTGACTTTTACAATTAATATGTTGCTGGACTATTTTGAATTGTTTGTTAAACAACGCCAGTGTTTTCATGTGTTTGTAATACGTGCCTCTGATGATGGTTTCTCTTGAACCGAAACATGTAAGGCAAGTGAGATAAATAAGTGACCTAAAAACATTGTTACACTCGACGGATTTTTCATTGACAATTTGTGTTTCTTGACATTATCCATCATCTTGTCTGTTCTTAAAAAACCGTCTAGTTTCTATCAAAAACACGTTTCGGGAACTGGAATCTGTCCCCGTCTTCAGGGGAAGACGTTGTGTTTTTGATAGAAACTAGACGGTTTTTTAAGAACAGACAAGATGATGGATAATGTCCAGCAACATATTAATTGTAACAATTTACCATCATCACAAACTTTTAGATCTTCTGACTTTTATTTGGGAGGTGCTTTGTTCAAATCTCGATCAATACACTGACTAACCTGAGAAGTTTTCTTTTTGTGGATTCTAAAGAGTACTGATGATGACGTATAACATTCACAGTTACTGGGTTCTTGGACTTTTTCCATCGTCCGGTATTCTAGAAAACAGAAAACATGACATTTTGGAAACTGAGACCAGGCTAATTCAGAGGGAGATAACAAGAAAATATGCAATAAAAATTGTGATCGAAAAACAGAGCACGCACATGCGTGGAAGTGGGATAGAATACGCTGGCATGATGCTAGGATTTTGGAAACTGAAAGTAACAGCAGGTATAGGAAATACAAGGAATCAGCCCATATGGCATGCTTAACCAATCCAACCAGCCAACCCAGTTTGGACATCTCTCCTATCTGGATCCCCCTCATCAGCAATGAGGTTTCTAACCCACAGATAAGATCTGTATGATGTAACAGATTCTTCATGGGTCTCCATAAGGTGTCTGAGAATAGCAAAAAAGAATACCCAGAGTCAGTTATAGAGCTCTTAAGGCTAGAAGAAAAAATATTTCTGCAAGGTGTCTGTTATTTCATAAACAACATTCCTATATTTATATAAAATAGATATGTAAGAAAAGCAAAAGAAGTAATTGTACTGATTATTAACAGCATACTCTAAGATTTAAGTTAAGATCTATATTAAGAATCACGGGGTTACCACTATTATAGAATAAGATATTTATAAGAATGTGCTACAGGGGGCCGGATGGACACTGCCTAGGCCTTTTTTTGTATTTAGAATAATTCTTTCTGCAATAAAAAAAGTCTTCACATTTTCTTCTTCATTTGTTTGCATTGGTGTTCATGCACTTGGTTTTGTTGGCTAGGTCTGTAGCACAAATTTCGACCTCCTTTTCTATCCTAGCTCCACAATTGTGTGTGCTCTATCACAATTTTTATGGCACATTTTCCTGTTTTCTCCTGCCGAATTAGCCTGGTCTCAGGTGATCAAATAACTGTATGAATCTGATAAGAGCTGCCCAGTGATTGAGGTTAGCTCTTTCTGAGCGATCTGAGTAGGTGTTTCTTCCCCACTTTAGGATGAAAACAGATCCAATTATCAAAAGTCATGTTTTCTATTTTATAGTATATTGGGAAATGGAAAAGTAAAAAACAAAACAAAAAACAAACAAACAGTAATTCTGAGTTGTTTGCATTTTTCCTCAGTTCCTCCATGAAAATATTGGGATAGTACCCCACTTAGGCCATGCCCGCTCTCTTTCACATCTCTTTCAATTCATTATTCACTAATCATCCTACCATTCGATGCTATATAGTCTGGGATACTTACTTTAAGTAAGCCATAAATATAAAAAGACAGTTCCTATATAGAGGGCATTGTGGTACAGTGGTTGATACTTCAGTGCTGTATTCAAGAGACCCTAAGTTCAGATCTTGATCCACAGGTAGGATGCCTTGGTTGAGATTCTCTTCATTTCAGCTGATGTTTTTGTTGGAGAAAAGGCAATAAAATGTAATGGACCTATATAAAACCTTGTAAATTAAAGATTTCTGGTGTTTTTCTTGTAGCTTTGTGAAAATACTGATATTTTTTCCATTTGCCCAAGAGAACCATTTTGTTCTTAATTTTTGTCTTCAATTTTGAAGCAAGGAGATAATGTCAATATGAATGACATTTTCAAAATAATGTAACATGTTTTCCTAGAATGTTCTTGCTGTCACAAATAAATGAGAACAGTGACAGGCTGTGATCACAATGGCCATGCTTTGATTATTGGTGAAATTCTCTGCAACTTTCAGAATGGCTCTGAGCCCATTCAGTTTCCTTGTGTCCAGCAGGTTCTTGAATGTGTCCGGAAGTGGGCTTTGGGTTCGGCACCACCATGCATGTTAGTTAATTCAGACAAGCACTTTACAGATGTCACTAGTCTGATTCCACTGGGATAAACTCATGCCTCCATGGTTGACTCGTCCTCCTTTCTAGCAGGTTAAGGACTTCTTTCACCAGGGTCATGAAGCTGAGCATTATACTGTCAATGTCCTTTATACCAGTGAAGTCATTAGTTCTGCTCTCTGTGTCTTGATGTAATGATCCTTATGCATAGTAGGATGTTTACTTTTGGCTATATCTATTCATGTTATCTGGTGGTCTACACATAATGTTACTTGTTATGCTATGGCTAGTGAGTTCAGCTTTGTTTCTGGGTGTTGTTAAGGTTTTGTTTAGTCTGAGGTTCCAAGGTTACTGGTCTATAAATGTTTCATATGTATGATATTACGGCAGTATTATGATATTGTCCATTTGCCTATATTTTGAAGTTACAGGCTCCTTGAAAGAGACAGCTTGGGGTGTGTGTACACTTTTCACTTCCAAAAGCTGTCCTGATTAGGTAGAAGTTGTGGCTTATTTAAGCACTGGTACAGATGCACTACAATCCACAGCTGCTCTTGATGGTATTCTAACCTAATTGTGGTCAAGTGTTTTATGAGCACTGGAAACCTCAGAGGTTGTCCTGGCAGTAGCACAGTTGTTTGTAAGTTTTCCCTTCTTGGATAGGAAGAAAAGCAGATGCCAGATGAAGAGGAATACCCTGGTCCTTCAAGTTGGGTGCTGCATGAGGGGGCTGGTAATATCCCCACTTAAGATGTTTGAATACTCCATAATTTAGAGTATGTGAAGTTGGATCAGGGCTGAATGCCTATACCATGAAGTGAAGAAGCAGGAAAGTCATAGCAGTCACAACAGCTCATCTCAGCATAGAGTCAAACAAATGTTCGCTACTAAAAGCAAAGGTATTTTGTGTGTTCAATAACTTTCTGTGGTCAATGTTTGATTTATATTTTGGTAGAATAAATAGAACAGCAACCGTTATCGCTGACTAATTAGCATAAACCGACCAACATTTAATTAAAAAAAATGGTTTGTTGAAGAAACCATGCAGTACCATACTGTGTATTTTATACTCTAATTGCCTTATCATTATACAAAGTAATTCATTCTTTGGTAATAAGAAAACAAAAATGTCATGTCATCTTAGAGAGTTGGCATTCATTTCAGAAGTTAGCAGAACATTATGTATGATCTTAAAATGTACGTTGTACTTTGGAATATGTATTGCATGCAAAAACATATTAAAAAGTTGTTTTACGTTATTTACTCACACATAAACGCCCATCGATGGCAACATATGGTACATTTACACTGGAAACACTATGTCGGGAAATTTGGATTTGTGTTCGCGTAGCGTTTGAGGGTGTAAAGACTGTACTATTGGCAGCATTGTAGAATCGACGTATCAGGTGGACTAAACAAATGTAATGTGTTGGAGAGGAAATTTCGAAAGTTGTCCCTATATTGCGAAAATAGTGTTTAAGAATATTCGGAAGACAACAGTTTTATACACTAACATTGTAAGGGTTGTGCTTACAATAGCTGCGAAAACAAACACGTAGTCGACGCGTGATCTATATGATTAACAGAAACAGCGAGATATTTGATGACCTGGGAACGGTAAGAGAAGCGCGGTAACATTCAACTATATTAAATGCAATTATATAAATGTGCAAGGTCGTAACGCAATTTTATTCTCATTTTCTTGTTTTGATGTAGAATTTTTGTTTACTGTAAGTCACAGAGGCCGTGAAACATAAACATATGATTGAACTTTATGCTGATTTTGAGTTGAAAAGGATGGCATATTAAGACCTATAAGGTACGGTGTGTTGTCCCGCAAATTTAAGTTATATGGACAAGGGCATGTCATTAAATTGTATTATGTAAAGGTTCCCCTAACCGAACAAAATAAAGCCAAGTTGAATCCAGGTATAAAATGATCAAGAATTGTTCTGAACTTGGCATAGCACCATCCTCTGCATCTTAGCCAACAAATTTGGCTATGACGCCCTATATTGTCATTGTCATTTATTTATAGTTCCAAAAAATCCATAGAGGCATCTGCCTCAGATATAGAACAAGTCAATAATACAATATAACATATAAATATAAATATGTGTAAACATTCTATATTCCAAATTGTCTATGATAACATAGTCTCAGAAAAATATGATCATGGGTCCTACTGACCCTGAAACCAAGAATGTGCTGGCAAAGACCAGCAGCAAATTGTCAGACCAGACCTGGACCATAGTTAGCAGTCAGTCGCCAGCCAGTGAGCACAGGAACCGTTGAGCACAAAAGCAGTAAAGACGGTCCCCACTCTCGGAAACTGCTACCAAACGAGTGGTGAAGGCATAGTAGTTATTTGTAACTGTAGTTATTCATAGGTTTTGTAGAATAGACAATGTTATATTATCTATAGTTATGAGCAATAAGCATCCACTAAATTCCATAATCAAATGCTGTGTCTAGTCACTGACACATAACAGTATATGTTAGACAGAAGCTTATATACAAGGGTCATACTGAAAGTCATGAGCAACAATTTTTTGTAAAGTAACATGCTTTATTATTGACAAACCAAATACACCATCTCAATCTACAGACCTTCCTTTATTTTTTCGCATAATCGCCACTTCTTTGTACACATTTCTCCCAGTGTTTTGGGAGTTTGAAAATTCCCCTTCTGTAAAATTCCATTCCAGCCATCCAAAGACACTGATACACTGCTGTCTGAATTGCCTCCCTTGTCTCAAACCATTGTCCACGCAGCTGGTCCTTCACAAATCCGAAAAGATGGTAGTTGGAACTGTATTGGCGCAGCTTTTCTGTTACAACATTCCTGATGTGCGGGTAAGCGTTGTCATTGAGAATGATCGGCCCATCCTTGAGCAACTGAGGTCGGTTTTTGTGCATTTTTCTGCGCAGATTTTGCATAAAGTCACGATAATAAACTGCTGTGACACTTTTCCTGCATGGAATTCTGTTTGTCATGATGATTCCTTGGTGATCATAATCAAAGATCATCATTTGTTTGACTTTCGATTGAGATTGTCAACATTTTTTTGGTCATGGGGAAGATGGACCTCTCCACTTGTTGGACTGTGTTTTCAGCTCTGGTTCAAAGTCTCTAGCCCACGTTTCATCAGTAGCGACAAGTCAATACAGGAATGCTTGACCTTCAACGTCAAATCTTTTTTCAGCAAGGTTGCAATGTCGAGGCATTTCTGCTTCTGTTCAGCAGTCAAGCAGTGAGGGACCCATCACGCAGAAATCTTTCTCTTCTTTAAATCATTTGTCAGAATTTGGAATATTGACGTTTGTGGAATCCCTGTGGTTTCAGAAAGTTCCTCACATGTCGCACGACAAACTTCTTCAAGATCATCTGACACAAGTTTCACACTTTGTTATTCTGTTGATGTTTTCAGCCTTCCTGGCCTTGGATCATCGTTTATGCTCACACGACCACCATGAAAACGACTAGCCCAGTGAGAAACTGTACTATGGTCCACTGTTAACTCGCCACAAACTTCCCTTAAAGCAGAGTGGATTTCTGTCGGGTTTTTTCCATGTAAGGTTTCGATCTTCAACAGTCACAATACCCGAGAACTGTGCAGGCTCCATTTCTAACTCACGTTATTTAAGAACAGAGTACATTATAAATGAAACAAAATAACACGCTTCTTTTTCAAGCCCTGAACTGTAACTGACGTGAGGCTTACTGTTGTTGCATCATCTAATCCGCAGTGTTGCCAACCTGTGCATTATTTATGAAATGACCCACGTAGCAAATTCAGTAAATACGTCAGAATGTGTGGTACCTTAAGAGGAAGCTTGAAGACTGAAACAAGGAAAGAAATAGTTGAAATTGTATAAAGCAGTAACAGTACCAACTTTGCTGTATGGATGAACAGAGGACAATTGAAGGAAGATATATAAATAGAATGTACTTAGTGGAGATGAGATATTTAAGATCAATTAAAGGTGTACTTTCATGAATGAAGGAAAGACGATATTAGGGAAAAACTGACGCTACAGTCAGTACAAAATAAAATAGATAAGTACAGACAACAGTATGGGCCTTCACAGCCTGGTACAGGGATAGCTTTACTTTTTACTTTACAGACAGATTTGGGTAAATCATCTAGATAGAATGATGGCAAAAAACAAAACATTCTGCATTATAAACAGAAACGATACTGACACCAAGGAAGAATTTGGAAAATATGGAATAAGTGTGTGAAATCAGAACAGGCTTGGTTGACTATATCATGAAGTGAGAACATATTTTGATACTGACAAACAATTATATTGTGGCTGAAGCCTGAGTATTTCTGCTGGTGAAATGAGTAATTTGTATGCCTGCCATGTTTTTTTTTATATCATTCATTTACATGCTCACACCCATCATGAGCCGGGGTAGCACAGTCAGTATAGCAGCTGCCTATGAGCTGGATGACTTAGGGGTCAGAGTTTGAGTCCTGGTAGGGTCAAAATTTTCTCTTCTCCATGTCATCCAGATCAGCTCTGGGGCCCATCCAGGCTCCTATTGCATGGGTACCTGGGGGCTCTTTCCCCAGGGGTAAAAATGGCAGGGGCATGAAGCTGACCACTCACCTTGTAATGCCATGTCTGTGTTACGTCAGAGGCTTTCCCCCCCTTTCTTACTACCTTCCCCCTTCCAATGTTCCACTTCCCGGTTCCTGTCGGCTGAGGTCCACCGCGAGGGTTCCATTCTGTTGTGGGAGCTTGAACTGTTCAGTCGATTCACTCCTCCTGGTCTGTACGATTGTGATTGGTTGATTGTCGGAGGCCTATCACCTCCAGGGACTTACATTGTATTCGCATTTATTATATAATATATATATTATCATTTGATATATTTGTTATAGTGTTTTTGAGTTGGTACGTCCTACCCAAAAACCAAATTTCAGTCTTCAAGACCTTTTCATGTTTGAACCTCCAACTAGTGCCGAGGTCAAGAAAATGTGGATCTACACATCCACTCCCCCATGCGCCTTCATGGCATAGCGCTTAATTAGTTAAGCACAGGGGCAACTTTACCTTACTTTACCTCCCATGATCTATGAAGGATGGGCTGTTCAGAATTTCACTAACCACATTTTTGACTTCTTTACCTATGACAGGTTTTCTTCTGAACCATTGTTCACTGGACACTGGTGTGTATTAATTAACATACCTACTTCATATTTGGATGGTACTCAGTTCACATCACATCTGTAGTACCACATTCACAGTTTTCCTCACTACTTTCAGGCAAATTTCTAGATACGGCCTTGCAATTTGACATGACTGCTTCCACCTGCTGCCGTTCCAGTCCATTGTACATAATCATTCTAAACTGTATGATGGGTGATGACATTGAACTACAAAGGAATAAGAAATTTTCTTTATTCAGTATATTTTCTGGTTCTTTGTAGATGTCTTATTTGTTTTTCCATGTCAGAAGTTTTCCTGTGTAATTCTGAAAGCAGGGAAACAAATGTGATGCATCTAGGTTGGATGTGGGGCTAATAGTTCGGTTTTAATATCAAGCATAACATAGTACATGTACCAGATATGCAACTGGAAGTATGTATAGGTATCTGGCACAAAACTGCAAGAATTTTGAGACTAGAGGATGCGTGGCAAAACAAATTACTGCACCTTATATTTTATTAAGTAAAATCAAATGGTGCAGCAATTTACAGTTTAAATATGGATCCCTCTGTGGTCTAGTGGTCAGAGTTCCTGGCTACAGATCCAGAGGTCCTGGCACTATCATATTTTCTGAGAAGTAGTGGGTCTGGAACGGGGTACACTCAGCCTTGTGAGGATAACTGAGGAGCTATTTGAATGGAAAAGTAGCGGCTCTGGTCTAGAAAACCGAGATTAACGGCCGTGGGGATCCGTTGCGCTGAGCACGTGACACCCTCTATCTGCTAAAGTTGGCACTAACTTCGCGGACAAGTGGCGGTCGCTCGGTTGGTAGGTATAGTTCACTTGCGGACTATAGCCGTGGAGTTGATGTATGAAATAATGCTGGTAAGGCCAGAATGACTTGTGCCATCATCAATCACTTGCTAGTGCAACTGTACGTTGTAACTGTTAATACTTTCCTTGAATTTGAAGGGATAGCCAATGTACTTCATCTTTCTGTTTCTCTTGTTAGATTTATTGAAATGTTTCTTCTGATATGTAATACATAAAAAGATCTATATAGTAACTACATTAAACTGTTTACATAATCTCTCTTTTTGTATTGAGTTTCATTCTATTCGTTAATATGTTTAAAATGAGCTACACATAACATTAAACATTAAGAGCTACAAATATATATATATATATATTTATATACACACACACTAGCAGTTGGCAGACTGCACTAAAGATACTGAATTTATGGAATAAAATGGAACACGTACAAAATCAATATGATATAGTTTGTAAGATACTTATGTTGTGATATGCTAGTAAAGGCACAAATATAATGTGAGAGGTCTATTGTCATCCTTAGATCATAGCCAACTAGAATTCAGGTTCATACTTCTGTTGGAGATTCTAATCAGGGGGTTGCAAATACTGCAATTACTAATGGGAGATTTGTCTTTAAAATTAATTTATTTGTGACTCTTTGCTTAGTTTCATGAATCAGAATACGAACATTGTTGGACTTGAAAGGATTCTGACGATGGTGTATACTGTACTTCTTTTGGCTTATTTTGGACTTCACCCATCATCTGGTATGTAAAAGGCAAAAGACCACGACGTTTCAGAGACAGATCCAGTCTCTGAAACGTCGTGGTCTTTTGTCTTTTACATACCAGACGATGGGTGAAGTCCAAAATAAGCCAAAAGAAGTAAAGAACATTGTTATATATCTTATTTCAGCACATAAAGTTTCTGAAGGTTTCCTGAACAGCATTTCTTTTGTTGTTATTTAATTATGAAATTTGGCTATACTAAGGAGGGTCAACAAATTTTACATTCATTCATTCATTTATTTATTGTAAATAAATCATTGTACATATTATGTTTTTTCTCTCACTGATATTAGAGCCTCTTGAATACCTTACAACTAATGAATGAGTACAATTTTAATACTGAAGTTGTTATTTACATGACATATGATTCATATTTGAAAGAAGGGCCTTAAAATATTGCAGAATAAGAGGGAAACATAATTTCTTAAACATAGGCATTGACATGCAAGTTTATATTAGAAACTCACAGTTTATTTTTAAGTTTCAAAAGAGGACATTGGACTAATGAACACATGACATTCTCACAACAGTACTGTGATAAGGAGTCATTGGTCTAATTAGGGCTGTACAAGAAAACCACAGTTCCAAATACAATAGTACATTACCAATGATATTAAATACCTAAATCTCCCACATTTCAGGCATATTTTGGTTGCGTTTCCATGACTCAAACAAGGATGTTTGAGGGAATTCAGTATCGGTTCAATTAAAAGAGATTTTTATGAATGACAGTTTCTAGACAAGTCTCTTCTATATTATGGTGTGATCTGATGAATACATGAGGGGATTTTTAAACATGGTGTACAGTGCAGATTGGTCAGCAAGTTACTCAGCTGGTGGTTGGGTGGAGAGGACTTTACAAAACCAGATGTGTTAAACATCATACAGGTTTTCAACCACATTAATAATTCACATCAACTTCATGCAGTGTAACTACGGTTAGTTCCTCGGAACTGTAGCTGTGGTAGAGGGGTCATACCATCTCTCGCGGAGCTGGGGGAGCAGTTTTATCAGCTTACATCAGCATGGGTACTACTAGTTTGGAATGTAGTGTCTTGGAGTGTGGTCAGGTGTATAGTACGTTTTGTATCTACTCCTGGTCTCTGTAGGCAATGTTTTCCACCCAGGGAGTAGCTCTGAATGTCATCACTGCAAGCATACAGCTTTGTGTCCTTCACAACAGCATTTACCTTTCCGCGTGGCTAAAGTTACAATTCACTAACTATAGTTACATCTCATTGTGTCACAAAGTCATGAACTGCTGCCTGAAATAGAGCAAAGATGGCAAGGCTGAGAGACCTCTTGACCACATGATTATTATAACACTTGTCAGTTACTTGCTTCAAACTGTCATCACAGCAGTGTATGTAGTGCTGCAGCATATATAGTCATTTTTGGTCCTTAAAATCGTGCTAAAGCTGTATGATGGATTATGTCACTATTTTGAACTTATAAAGGGACACTATAAAAAGACTCTTTGGTTGCTATAGCATTATTTTATCTGCTAGACTAGTGAGCTTTGGAGTGTGAGTAAAAGGTATTGTAGCAGCGCTACACCACTGAATACTTGCAAGAGAACAGCAAATCCAAATATTATAACAAGCAAATATCTACATGACAGAACTCTGTTGGTTGTATATTACTCTCCAGGCATGAAGGTACAAATTGTTTAATCAAGCTTGGGAGAACAATTGCCTAAGGGCTGTTTGCAGTGTTTGTAGATCTGGTTTATAAAGGTTCGTATGCTTAGTATGTCTCCATTATTAATGCATCTTCATGATGCATTGCTGACCTGTGGTTGTTTTTCAGATTCTGCAGCTTATACACAAAAGCAAATTAAATGCAATGTGCCTGTTCATACAATACTTTGACTTCAGAGTGGGTGAAGAACTGTGTATGCCAGACATGTGTGAGAATATGTCAGTTTTCATAAAAATACAATTCAGAGCAGCTGAATTAAAACAGGCTCATTTTCTTTCTTCCAGTGTCATTTACAAAAAAAAAAAAATTAAGTTGATCCACCCTGATTCTAATTTAGTGCTGTAATAATTTTCTAGTTGTATGGCAGTGAATTGTGTTCTGATTTACTGTATTTTTATAATTTCAGAAATGTTTATGAAGCCTTTGGAAGTATCTGTAGGCAGTAAGGTTGCCACTGAAGAATGAAAAGTAGCAGTAAAGAAATACTGTTAACATACACACAACCTGCTACTTATGTGGGGAGACTCAGGAAAACTATAAGAATTCTACATATGATTTTGAAAAGTTCTACTCCTGGGATAATGTTCAATAATCCAGTGGAAGTCAACCAGCATTTTGGAGGAATATGTCACCCTCATCTTCAGGGTTCAAGAGTAGGCCAAGCAAGATACCAGCATGGAGGAGGCAGCAAGCAAAGCAATTTGCTTTTAGAAAACCTGGGATTATATAGAAAACTGGAGGTAACTTCAGGACAGCTCATCAGTTCTCCTTAACTCACTATGAGAAATGGAGAACCAACAGATAACAAGAGAGAGGTAAGTAGGATCAGCCCTAAAAAGGCCCATTTATGCAGCTCTTGGACCATGGGGAGAGGAGTTGCATGTGGGTTGGCTGATAACTGAGGTGGGTGAGATAGAATTCGTATGTGTGGCTTATAGATATGTGGTGGGGGGTAAGTAGAGCACTAATAGCAGGAGTAGGCCAAGAGAGGAGGAAAGGTTTAGGGTTGACTTTCCTCAGACTATATAGCATTATATCTTAGAAGACAAAACCGAAGAGTTCTGTCACAATATTTTGATTAGGTATTGCAATTCCTGGTTTCATCAGCAGGTTCGACACCTAGAGGTGGAGATACATAATTTTCTGATTATGATGCGAATTATTTAAAATAAATGGAGGTACATAAACTTAATATTTCCGTTAAATGATGTAAAGTACATAGCCCCACAGACAAAACAAAATATGAGACTCCAGATGTGATGTGAGGTACTGACTACTTACTGTGACAAGCGGTTTCGAGAGTAAAACTGAGTTTTCAAGCACTGCTTCAGCAGATATACTGTAAGGACCACATGCAAATAATTTGCCTGCATCCATTAATTCTTTTCACTGCCAAGCCTCACCAAGAAATGCCAAGACTTCTTGGGAAGGAATGGATTTGCACAGAGCAATCTACAGCACTTCCTGAGATTACCTACACATGACCACAGTGAAAGCCTGTTCATTCCGTGAAGGCCCATAGGGTTGTGAGATGTTGAGGGTCCCACATTATTTAGACAATCAGCTCAAAGATGGCGGTAAGGTTGTCAGACTTACATGCTGGCCGCACTTTACCCCCAGGAAAATGATTTAATTAATTCCTGGTACTCATTTCTGTTAGAGGCTGAGTCGACCCCAGGGCCATAGTGCGGTCGGAAGGATCAGGGCAATTGAAAAAACCCAGTGACCTCATTGGGACTTGAACCCACGACCTTCCAGCTTGTAGCATAGTGCCTCAAGCAACTACGCTACCACGTAGTGAACTTAAGTTGCATATTTTGATTATCAGTTTGAGAAGAATTGAATCATGTTAAGATTTGAGGTTCTGATGTAAGTGACTATGCAAATTACTGTTCTCTAGGATGTAACACCTTAAAGAGTGTTATAGATGATTATTGGCATTTAGGAGGAATGGGCTGCCTCTGTCTTCAGGGTAGAAAAGTAGTTCTCTATCACAAAGGTGGAGGCAGCAGTGTACCTATGGACTGTTGGCAATCATCTACCAGACTGTCTGGCAACACACCTCAGAAAACATTAACCTCAAGCCAAATAATGGCTTGTTCCTAGAATGAGAAGTGCAAGATATGTTGTTTTTACAAGAAAGAATCCAAAATTATCTCAGAATAATATTAATTATACTGTGTAGTATAAAACTGCATGATTCAACACTCTGAAAGTGTGATATACTGAGTGTACCATCATATTCTGTTGAATGTGTGACATTATGGACCACATATATCTCTTCCTTTGGCATTTCTATGGGTTCTAGCTCTGGCAAATCTAGTCTTCATTCTATCAGAATGATGTTGCTTTTGAATTTTTTTTAATCCACAAAAACAAGTGTTTACAAATTTGACTCTACTTGTTACATATCTACATTATATTCAAAATTAATTAAATAATGAAGTTTATTGTAGCTATCATGATAAAACTAATCTTTTGCATGTTCATGAATACCACAGTCAGGTACTGATTGTTAGTCAAAATGCCTGCCACTTCTGCTCATGCAACGGATATCAATTGGCAACCAAAGCTGAGAATGGGCAAACATGGCCGGGAACATTGCTGTGCTTTAAAGAGACTTGTAAATAGTTTCACTGTAACATTAATTCAATTCTAATCATTTTTCCATAAGTTTACTGCGTTCATTTATTTGATCTTTTAGTTTCCAGTGCTTGATGTTGTTCATAACAGTTTAAAGTTTGATAATTCTAGAATGATAAATGATAAGTAAATCTTATTCTGAATTTAGACTTCGTATATTTTTATGAAGACCATCCACTAATTTGATGATGATAGTATATTATAAACAGCAAACGGTTTCTCTTCAGATGTGCCACTTGTTCTAGGACAAATCACTGACAATCTGTATGAACTCACTCTTCAGATGATGACTAATAAGATTATGCCTTTATTGAGACAATGCTTATTGATATGAAATTCAGACGATTCAATTGGAATGCTGCTAGGTAGGACAGGACTTGTTCCTCTGTCTCTGGGCTTCTTGTTGCTTCTCCTTTAGCACAGCTTTTTCCTACTAGTCCCAAGTTTGAAAAATTGTCACTTCTTCATCAGCTGACTCATGTTCTGGACACAGTAAATGATTATACTGTATTCGAGGTCTCTCACGGCCCCAAAGACACTGTAGCATACTGTGAACAAATATGAAGAGTTAAAGTGAAATAGTTACTGCATGGGTTTTCTTTTGCACTATGTATGTTCAACTATTCCTAGGATATCTTAATTACTGTGTGCCGTTATTTGAAATAAGATAAATATATTGGCTGTTTAGTAAATAGATAATGTTAAAAGTTTCTTATGAAAGATACGTGCGTTTGACAATTCACATGAAGATCTGAACTTCTGTAAATCTGGTATTTTCTTGTATACATGCCATGAGAGGTACAGCCTTAAATAATACCGTATATCATAGGTACACAATTTTTATAATAACTTGTTTAAAAGAGCGAAGCCCATGTATAGCCTGAGGAAGACCCAAAATGCACAGGACATACAAAATGCATGTTAGGTTCTAGTGATGAGGGATTGATTTTCTATGGGAGTGAGTCAGTAAGTGCTTATGTTATGTAAAATATATGAAGGATTTATATAGTTACTTAGGCTGCGCCATAGCTCAAGTGGTTAGTCGCTGACTTCCCATCATGGTGACCCGGGTTCGATCCCGGGTCTGGTCATGTGCGATTTGTGGTGGACAAAGTGGCGCTGTGGCAGGTTTTTACTCGAGTACTTCAGTTTCCCCTGCCAATCTTCATTCCACCAATTGCTCCACAATCACCCTCACCTATCATCTGGGGCTGGTACAATAAGCCAGAAGTGGCCTCAGTACAAGGGACTTAGTCCCACCCCACTAGCAATAAAAAAAATATATAGTTACTTAAGATTTCAGCTGTGAGTACTAATTACACTGCTGTTTAATGCAGTCTGGAACACGTTTACTTTAGAGAGACCAAATCCTTCTAGAAAATTATTTTGCCATATTTTAATTTGACCTTTCTTCAACAGAATGTGTGAAAATTATGGTGGGCTGGATATGTATTGTCAGTGCAATTGCATGCCAAAAATTAGTATGGAAAACTTAGACACATTTGGGAAACGAGTATGGTAAAATATAATATTAAAGTGGACTGTGGGGAGATTGGTTGTAGTCAAGTAGATCAGATTTTGATGATTTCATGTTAAGGCCTTAGTGGCTGCTTTTGCGTTTGATATGTTTGACTTTCATGTCCTAATACCAGAGGGTTAATTGGTAAGTGCTGCAAACTGCATTGCAGTCAATGTGAAAGGTCATGTCAGAAGAGTCATGTTATAATTTTTTTTGTTAGAAGACTGCTACACCATTATCTTGGATTATTTGTGCTGGCATATATGCAGTATTTTTGGAAAATCGTATTTGGATCAGTGAATTTGCAAGTTTGAAGCTTGTACATACTATTCCAACTCATTATATTCTTTGGTACACAATTATAGACACTTCTTAACATGATTTTTAAAAAGATCATTGCTTGTATCCTCAGTATGCAGATAAATCATGGTGAACCTCTTGAAAAAAACAGATAACAACAGTACATAAGATATCGTGGTAACTTCCAGATCTAGAAGTTCTGCACTTGTCCTTGTATATTGTGACATGTGACATGTTGACCTGTTGCTAGGCAGCGACCGCAAAACAAGCAATTAGACAACGGTAGTTATGATTTGTAAGTGTTCAATAGATCCAGTTACTAATGTAACGCCATCTATGGTCACTTTATCACATGACTATATATATATATACACACACATATATACATATATTTGGACGTGTTCAATAAGTCCAATTACCAATCCAAACTCCATATATAGTTGCCTGACAATATATATATAGTCAGGGCTTGTAATAGTTACAAATAAGAGCAGCAGAAAATAGCAGTAAACAGTAAAGGACTGAATGCTTGAATCAGTATTGCATTGCCGGTCTGTCAAAAAATGTTCAGAGAATATATCTGGACAGCAGCACTGCATATTGTTACTCTATCAAGTTTAGGATCATAGTATAAATATAGTCGCTTTCTCAGAACTCTCGGAGTTCCTGAGGTTAGGAACATTTGATGAAGTTTGTTTTTTATCTGCAAAAAAATGTTGCATGTGCACAGTAGTAATGTTCATAACAACAGTGATTCCCTGCTGAAAATCCAGTGGAATTTATGCCAATTTTTTTGTATTTGATATAAAATATTGATGAAATACCACTTATTTCGGGGAGGGAGTGAAGGGGGAAAAGGAGATTTGGAGTATTATGCAAAACCTAACTGTGTAGATTTTGTGAATATTTATATACAGTAGAACACTGATTATCCAAATTGCTAATTAACTGAAACTCTGCAGCCAAGGAATGTGGACTCTTTCTCCACTTCCTGAGCCAGCCCACATGGTTGTTGTAACTGTCCATTCCAATCTTTTGTCACATGGCAGCGTTTAATGTTATGTTCTGTTTGATTTTCAAATCCTATTTTAAAAGTTCTTTTGGTTTTTATTATTATAATAGTACAGTATCTTATGATAGGGCTATAATAGTGTTTTTTTGTTTTATAAAGAATTTAATTCAGTAGTCCAAATCACACCTGCCACTAATTCATTCAGATAATCAATGTTCTACTGTACTTCTGCCATGTTATATGGGTCCCCTGTAACTATGGCATGGTACATTCTCAAGACTGCAGATGGATGAAATGGCTTCCTTATATGAAGAGTTTAAGTGAATGTATTGAATAGGCAGACAGTGGGGTGATTCTCCAGATATGGAGTCAGGTGAGAGGCTAACAACCCCTCATGATGAGAGAAACTAGTATGTTATGAAATGATACTTAAGCCCTTGGAGTTTAATATATTCTTTGGAATGACCTAAGCAACTAAAAATTGGCATGAGGTTTGGAATGTGGAATATCAGAATTCTCTATAGTTGATGTTGAAGAGGAGGATGATATTAAAAATGGATCTGAAATAAACAAGATTTGAGGGCTTGTACCGGATTCATCTGGCTTAGGGTAGGGACCAGTCATGGACTCTTTTGACATGATAACCACAATTTCTTGAGTGACTGCCCATTAGCATAGCTTCTCAAGAAATATGCTTCTCCCTGGAATTAGTTAGTTTTATGTCTATATAAGGGGCACATGGTAGCACAGTTGGCTGAGGAACTATGTTACAAGCCGGAAGGTCGCGGGTTCAATTCCTGATGAGGTGGATTTTTTAAATTTACTTAATCCTTCCTGCCACAATATGACCCTGGGGTCGACTCAGCCTCTAACAGAAATGAGTACCAGGAATCTTTCTGGGGGTAAAGGGCGGCTGGCGCGTAAGGCTGACAACGTTATTGCCATCTGTGAGCCGATTGTCTAGATAATGTGGGACCTTCAACGTCTCACAAGCCTATGGGCCTTCACGGCCTGGTACGGGGATAGCTTTACTTTCCTTTATGTCTATAAACACATACTGTATATTGTATGTGCATGTTTATGTGATATTTTATAACTCACTAAATATGCATATTTTCAAGCTGTGACCGTGAACAAGTGGCCCACGGATTTTTTTGCGTCTCCATATCCATTTATCATGAGCCAATAACTAGAAATAATTACTATAATTAAAATGATGTTAATAATTATTATTATTAACATTAGTCATGTTAAGAGGGGAGAGGGAAAATATCTGAAGATCGAATCGCATGCAGATTTTTTCCAGAACGCCAAATACAGAGAATTGTAACTCTGTTGGCCTGTTCACGGCCGGCCGGCGCATACGAAATTTGCAGATGAATAAGCATGCCTGATGGCCGATAACGTTCGAAAAGAAGGCAACTAACTTGTGGACCGCTTGACGGCACATATCTGCTAGAAACTGTCGACGTAAATTTCGCGATGAAAGAGTTCCCATCAACAAACAATTCACAATTTGATGAATACACTTAGAACAAGAAACTCCGTGGTTTTAATCCGCAAGCGAACTATACCGACCGAGCGACCGCCTCTTGTTGGCGAAGTTAGCCAACTTAGAACAGCGGTACTCTTAATAGACAAAAGAAAAAAAAGGGTGGGGGGGGCTGGTTATTTACCTACGAGAAGTTAGATGACAAAAGGACCAGACTTGCACATACACCTAGAAAATCACTGAAACGTCTAACTGAAGAGACTGGGGTGTCAAAGTCTAGCGCAAGAACGGCAACACAATTGCTCACTCTTAGATTCTATAAAACAACAGTCATCCAAGCCTTACAGTCGCGCGATTCAGCTAGCAAGGTTCGGTTTTGCAGTCGGTTTCTACAGTCTATCGCCGAAGGTGAGGTCGATCAGCAAGTGACATTCTTTTCAGATGTAGCGTATGTTCACTTGCAGGGATACATAAATACGCAAAATAATTGCTATTGGAATTCACAGAATCCACATCTAACCCACGAAGTTCCGCACCCGTCAGTGAAGGTTGGTGTCTGGCTTGCTGTAAGTGCAAGAATGATTGTTGTATGTTTTTTTTAACGAAACAATTAATTTCGAAAGATGTCTGCGTGTAGAGGGTCAGCATTTTCAACTCCTCCTGTGATCTGTGAATTGTAACTACTTCATTCCGAATGCTATCGGCCGTTAGGCATGCTGATTTATCGGCAGAATTCCTATGCGGCAGGCGGAGGCCCAGTCGCCGCGAAGCGCAGAACCGTGGAAACGGTCAACAAAGTAAAAAATCCTGCTTGCACAATGGCAAATTTTAGGTCTGCAGGTCAACCCTTTTTAAAGTTATTCTAGATAACGGTAATGGGATTATAGCTGCATAATAAACATATTGCATATTCAGTCATAGCAGGAAAGATGTAATGTATCCTTACTGGTATATCAGATTACGAAATTTCCAACATTACCTCCAAGTTTTCGGTGTTCTTTCTACAGCGAAGCCGAACGATGTCGGTGCCTATGCTACCGCGAGTCTGGTAATAACAAGAACGGCTATCATGTTCAAAATGGGCGTCATCCGTCCTCCGGCGTTTAGGTGATTGTTGCCCGTAATGTGTTCGTGTCGAGACTGATGAATCGTATTTCTGTCGCCGCTGAAACTTCCGTCCAGTATTTCGGTAGTTCTGTGCGAAGACGTGGCGTAATCAATCCCTGTTCTCGGATACAGGTATGATTTGGTGCCGGTGAATGCGGTGATGATTCTGAAATTCGGCTCGTTGAGATGAACTCGTCCTGATAAGAAGTTCTGAAGCCTGTTCGAAACAACTGTCAGATTCCTCAGTTGAGAGTCGAAACCAAAGCTGGCGGGCCACTGGAGTAGATTGTTGTCTTGAGCAATTTTATGTTGGTTCCCTTCAAAGGGTAGATTGGTGTCCCATTTGGTAATAGCGTTCTCCCCTAATAGCCCGTAGTACAGAACCCCGTGTGAGTCCATTACCATGCCCTGGCTGATAGATCTCTTACGACCATGGGTCTTAACATACCCTGATACATCTCCTACAGCGTGGGTTTCATCCCTCAATACGGACGTAGGGATAGAGAAAAGCGAGTAGCTACCGAGGGGCGAGTAGTACAGACGCCTTTGACCGCTGTCTGAAACTGGAGACAAGGCGAGGCCAGCGATATTCCTGTTTATATCTACATACACTCCGTTAATAGATAAACTTCTGACACCGGGATCTGCTCTCATGGACCTCCCGTCGCGGACTTTCCATGAACGATTTTCCTTCCAGCTGTACACTATGAGGCCTGGGTCGTTCTCACTTGAATCACTGATGTAAGTATAACCGGAGCCATCGGTGTCTAGGACGATGTCTTCCAAGTAGGTGTCCCGAGAAATCACTGAGTCAGGAAATGTTACTTCCCTAACAATAACACCAGGCCTGTTGTAATTACCGTTATAGCTCCTAGGGGAATGGTTTGCACCGTGATTGTCACCCGGAGCATTGTATCCGCCTTGGTTGCCACTCGGAGGATTGTATCGATCATAGTGGCCACTCGGAGGGTTGTATCCATCACGATTACCACTCGGAGGATTGTATCCATCGTGACTGGTTCTGGGATAATTATACGTATCATGATGGCCGCTCGATGGGTTGTATCCACCTTGGTTTCCACCCGGGGGATTGTATCTACCCTGAAGGTCACTAGAAGGGTTATACCCCCCCTGGTAGTAACCTGTTGTTTGATGATTGCGTTCCGTATTCTCATGTCTGTGGTCCGTGTCATATGAGTTGTACCCTGGAGAGGACGAAGTCCCAGAACTGAGGTCGAAGACGAAGATTTTAGGAGCACACCGGCTGTCAGGATGTTGTGATAGTGTGTCAACTCTTCCAGAGTCGATGACCCACATGTATCCATCCGGGTGTATCTCAACATTTTGTACATTCTGGAGGGCCGAGCAGTTCCCCACATGCTGCATCTCCCACGATGGGAACGGTTCCAACTTGGGAGATGTGTTGAGATAGCGTCCCGCCGTTGGGAGCGGAACAGAAGCCAAAGTCACAGGAACACCGCGACGCCAGCGAGGAAGAGTCACATACAGTCTATCCCTCCAGACTTTAACACCTGAGATTGTTGTATTTTCAGGTATAAATTGCGAAGAGTCTAGAAATCTAGCCTTAAAAGAATCATCAGGCCACGTGAAATCAAGTTTGTTCCATTCGTAGGTAACGCCAAACACTTCCGTTGGGTCTTGGCCCCTGACGGCGAACCCCGTCACGCTTATAACCACTAACTGAACCCACAACATAGCTCAACGCGGTGATCTGAATGCGCGAACTAGACGCTACTTACTCCCTACAACGAATGTCGACTTGTGTTATAAAGCGTTTTTTTTATTCCCTCTCCACCTCTGCCACGCCTAGGGAAAACACAAGAGGTAATAGACGAGAGCCGAGGAGAACCGAACCGACACGAAGCGTGATCAACCAATACAGTCACTCGCAAAAATGTCTTTACGTCTGTGTCCTGACGTCATGCAGTGACGTCGCCCGAGTATAATTTGGAAGGAAGGGCAGGGAGGCAATACAAGAGACGCGTGGGCAACCAGCAGGTGAGGTTGACTCATAACCATGCGAAACAATGGGGGGGGGGACATCTCCCCCTCCTTGGCGGTGTACAGTCAACTTCTCGTGTCGAATTCCCTGTAACCATAATACTTCCCTGTTTATCGTGCCTTCAAAATGGATTTGCTTTCATGTCTACCTCTTTGTTCTTGGTTTTGAATCGTGACATAAGTGAAAATGCGTCCAGTAACCTATTAACCCTTATATTAATATTATTTATTTTAATTTTGTTGTTTTTTTAACTTAAATGTAAACCGATTGGAAAGGTCGGGTCGTCAAAATACGAAAGCCTTGCGTAGCGATGAGGGTCACAGTAAATCTGCACCGTTCTTTAGCAACATCATTTTCCTGCGCACTGGTATTGCGAAACAAAATGTCAGTATGCAGGAGAGGAGCGCCAGAACCTTGAATTTCTATTTGCTCTGTGCTAAAGTGATACATGTAAATAAAGTAATAGGCTTGTACAGTTCTGACATGTTACGCTCTTCAGCGTTTTAGTATAAGAATAGTGCAGTGTAAGGTCAGGCAAAATGTGGCTTCCCTCAACAACATTAACAAAAAAAAAAAAAGGCACCTCGGCGATGTACACATACGCATTATTAAAAATGATACCCATATATAATTTACTGTTTCGAAGTAGTGTTCAGATAGCATTGTAATCGTAAGGGAGAGATGACTAATTCCATGGAGGCCAGGCCTTCTTGAGAAGCCGCCACTTGTGCAGCAACTCAAAAAAATTTTCAACATTTTGCAGAACCCGAAGGTTCATTACCATGTCCTCTACGGTTTCCGTATCCTGAGCCAGATCACTCCGGTGCAAACCACCCTATCCTACCTATGATCCATTTTAATATTATTCTCCCACATATGCCTAGGTCTTCCTAGTGGTCCCTTTCCTTCTGGCTTTCTCACCAAAACGCTATATGCATTCTCCTTCCATATGCGTGCTGCATACCATGTCCATCTCATCCTCCTTGACTTGATCATTATAATTATGTATAGGAGAAATATAATAATAATAATAATAATAATAATAATAATAACTACGAAAATGGGGAGAAACTCGCGGGTGTAGGTCGGTTCTTTCGCAAAGCATGTGTTAGTAGTACTGGTGTTCATAATCCGGACTGACAAGCTACGGGTCAGCCTCACCAGTACGGTCCTAAAAATTGTCTGTACGACATGAATGTAGGTCCATGTTATTTACATTTTTATGTGTATGTATATACACGTAGACCGCCTCTGTGGTCTAGTGGTCAGAGTTCCTGGCCACAGATCCAGAGGCCCCGGGTTCGATTACGGCGTTACCAGATTTTCTGAGAAGTAGTGGGTCTGGAACGGGGTCAACTCAGCCTCGTGAGGTTAATTGAGGAGATAATTCAAAGGAATAGCGGCTCCGGTCTAGGAAACAGAGATTAACGGCCGTGGGCATCCGTTGCGCTGACCACGTGACACCCTCTATCCGCAAAAGTTGGCACTAACTTCGCCGACAAGCGGCAGTCTCTCGGTCGGTATAGTTCGCTTGCGGACTACAGGCCACGGAGTTTTTTGTTTTGTATATACACGTATGTATGTTAATCCGTTAACTCTATATTTTAACGTCTCGCAGGTTTGTCATCAGGATTATAAAGGTGTGTCAGTTATTCGAACATCATTATCATTATCGTCGTCATCATCATCATGGTATAGGCCCCGTGGCCTGTTCCGGCTCAATATTCCACCGCGTTATTGGTCTTCTTGAGTTTCTTTTTTCTGTTGGTTGATATTTTCATGTTAATCTAGAAAGACGATGCTTTTCCATTTTTTGTAGATGTTCTCCCCAGTATTTCTCTGGCAAAGTTCAAACATTTTGGAATGACAGTAACATATCAGAACTTGATTCATGAGGAAGTTAAGAGCAGCTAATTTCGGATAATACTTGCTACAATTCAATTCAGAACGTTTTTTCTTCTTATCTTTCGTCTAAAACCGCAAAGATTAATATATGAAAAAGGATAACTCTGCCTGTAGTTTTCTATATGTGTGTGAAACTTGGTCTCTGATATGAAGGGAGGAATATAGATTGAGGGTGTTTGAAAACAAGGTTTGAGGAGAATGTTTGGACCGCAGATGTATGAAATAATAGGAGAAAACTGCACAGTGACGAGCTTGATAATTTGTACTCTTCGCCAAATGTAATTAGAATCACAAAGTCAAGGATGTTGGGATAAACAGGGCATGTAGCCTGGGAGAGGAGTGCATACAGGATTTCTGTGAGGAATTCAGAAGGAAAGAACCACTAGGAAGACCTAGAGGATAGTATGACAGGAAGTTCTAGGAAGAACTAATCTCTTACTTCCTTTAATACGTCACGAATCGCATAGAAAACAAGGCCTCCAACAATTTTACGTTGCCGCATGAATGTCTTTACTGAGTTGTTACCTAGCAACGATAGGGGGATACACAGACAGCCAAAGACTCTCCTTTGATACGACACGGACCGAGTAGAAAACGACTCCCAAAATAATTCTATCGTCGCGTGTATTAGTTGTCACGGGACAGTGTCTACTTAGCCGTTGCCTGGCAACGATAAGCGGGGATACACATGCAGACACACAGACTGATGAGAGGGATTTATGAAGTATGCCGTTGGCTCAGGTGCCATGATATACATACCAAATTTCATAAAGATTGGTTCGGGCATTCAGAAGTTGATAGGGGTGATACAGAGGTACACAGACAGGGAGGAGATCGCATAAGCGTACTTTATGAAAGTAGGCTGAAAACGGATCGTACATAAACACGATGGAAAATATGGACTGGATTCATATGGCGCAAGATCGGGACCAGCATCAGGCTTTTGTGAACACGATAATGAACTTTTGGTTCCCGTATTTGGAAATTATTTAGTAGTTGAGTGAATGGTGTGTTCTTAAGTAGAGCTGACCTCCATATAGTTAGGTAAGTCGTATGGATATTGTTTGTGTTACATATCCAGCCCATCGGATGCTTGTTAATTAAGCACCAAAACAATGTTAAATGATGACAAACTTTACTCTGATTTCAAATTGAATCTTAATCACTGTTAAATTAAAAACGTTTTGAATTAACGCGCATCAGTACGTCTACGTCGAAATTAAATTATTTTTCAGATGGGGATAAAGGTTGTTTCGATCGCTTTCTGGGCTTAATTTCTGTCATCCGTTGAACCATCAGGAAGGTACATTCATTGCATTTTAACTAGGAGGTGATGACTAACATGCAATAAAAGGAAAATATGAAGAGAGAGGAAGTAGTCACACATGGTTGCAGTTTGCGCTGTAGACAACTACAAGAAAAAAAAAACATTGCAACATCTGCCTGCTGCCAAGTACAGTCATACGTAATCATAGTCATAACTGACTTAGGACAGTTTCAAACCGCTGTCCAACAAAGCGATATATGGCCTTGCTTGTCTTTCATCAGGGGACAAATGTCTACTTTGATGTTGGAGAAGACAACTCTTAATTCACTTTGAAAATATTTGTTCACAACTCTGCTCCTCAATTCTTATTTAAAATATGTAAGATTTGAGGCTTTCACGGCGGTGACTATGAAGAAAGCAGTCTTCTGGGATTTGGCACCGTGTATATGTGGTGTTAACCGACGTTTCGGAGGAACGTATCGCCCCCATCTTCAGGTAGAAGAAAAACGGTAATTACCGTTTCTCACGGTGTTGTCGCTTGCAGATTTCTTATACTTTTTCTTCTACCCTGAAGATGGGGGCGATACGTTCCTCCGAAACGTCGGTTAACACCACATATACACGGTGCCAAATCCCAGAAGACTGCTTTCTTTATTTAAAATACTTCATTTTGTTAAGTATTTGGTTACAATTAAAGGTAAGGTAAGGTAAATTTGTCCCTGTGCTTAACTAATTAAGCACTAAGCCATGAAAACGTATAGGGGAGTGAATGTATAGACCCACATTTTTCTGAATCGGCACTAGTTGGAGGTGAGTGGTCAGCTTCACGCTCCGGATTTCCTTACAATTAGGCGTATAAATTCTTGCAGAGGAAAATCTATTTCCACTTGCTGTCTTAGCGGTCGTGTTAGCAAATGCATTTCGAAGATCTCAAATTAAGACTCACACTCCTGAAGTACAAAAGAGGAACAGAATAGAAATATTAAAATTGTTTTGGGTCAGAAATACTATCCACGAGCCGTAGGTTGAAAACGTGTACGTTATATTCCACATTCACTTTAAATAGAACTCTTTTATTTCCACTTGATGGAACCAAATCCTCCTCCGTGACCTTTAGTCCACAAGCGAACTATACCGACCGAGCGACCGCCGCTTGTCGGCGAAGTTAGTGCTAACTTTAGCGGATAGAGGGTGTCGCGTGGTCATCGCAACGGATTCTCACGGTTGTTAATCTCGGTTTTCTAGACGGGAGATTGAACCAAATGGACAAATGAAATCCGAGGACCTCAGAGTTCTTGGTTTCAGGTCCTAAATTGAGTGAAAAAGCCACAGGTTTATTTTTTGTACGATCTAACGGCGATTTATTGACTTGATGCGTTGTATAGAGTAGATTTGCAGGATAATGCAGGATAATAAAATGGAAAGAATGTGGGGTGCGGGTAGGGGATCACGGGACCTTAATTAGGATTGCTGGTTTCCTAGCCGAGATTCCAACCTAGGGCCGCCAAAATACGAAACAGGATTGCTGATTACTTTTTTTTTTTATTGCTATCGGCTTGGGACTAAGTCCCTTGTACTGCTGCCACTT